GGCAGCAGAGCCATGCAGCCCCGCTCTGCGCTCCTCAGAGCTGGCCAGAAGTTACTCGGGGCAGCAGGAGGCCGTGAGGAGCATGGCCACGGGGCCAGGCTGTGAGAAAGCCAACGCGGCCAAGATGACAACTCTTTACGTAAAAAATCGTGGCACTGAAGACAAAACCAAGGGGTAGAGATCTTGCCCAACACGAACGTGGTGCCAACAGAGCCTCCACCTCCTTTTCAGGCTCCCACTCCCAGGCTGCACCTCAGGGGCCTGACCCCCAAGGAGCTGTTCCCGTTACACCAGGACGAGCCCCCCCGCCCCGCATCGGGCCCCAAGGACAGGCAGGAGGGCACCAGCTGTCCCAGCCCCAGGGCAGCCACGGCACTTTTATTGCGGAAGGAGCATTAAAAAGCCCCTGACAGAACCAGGAGCCTCTCCCCGGGAGGGAAACCCCCGGGCACGGCCCCTCCAGCTGCTCCCCAGCGCTGCGGGGGCCAGCGCTAGCCCTAGAGCTATCGTGCTCTCTTGTGGGGGCGGCGAGGGGGCTGCCCTCGCTGCTTGGGGGCCGTTTCTAGCACCGGTTTGGCTCCGCTGGGAGCTGAGGCGAGGTCCTCAGCAGAGAGGGGCTGGATGATGTGGCCCGCCCGGGTGATGACGCGGGGGGCGGTCAGCTTCTGGAAAGCACGCTGCGTGTTCCACGTGGGGCCCACGGGCGTCCGGATGCTCTGCTCGAACTGCTGGTGCTTCTCAAAGGGGAAGGGCAGCTCGCTGACCTGCGGGGAAACAGTAGGGCGGAGGGGGAGCACCCTCAGGGCTGTGTCAGAGCTGGAAACCAAATTTCCCTTTAGAGGCAGGGATTTAGGGAGTTCAGGGGCCGGGCCAGCCCCGGAGGCAGCGCAGCACCCACCTGATGTGCCGCCGCGTGGATGTTGCGCTGCTCGCTCAGGATGACGTGGGGCAAGTGCTGGTCCTTCCTGGGAGGGGCTGGGGGGGGCTTGATCAGGAACCTGGGGGACACGGGAAGAGGTCAGGCCCCTGGGCCGGGCTGCAGCGCGCTGCCACAGCCCTCCCGCGCTCACCGTTTTATTTTCTTGGCGCTGGGCTTCAGCCCGCTGCCTCCCCACTCGCCCCAGCCCGGCAGCACCAAGTTGACCGCCTTGGGCTTGCTGTCCTGCTCCGCCTTGCTCTTCTCCCGCTGGAAATCGGCCACCACGTCGTCCCCGGCAAACGCCTCGCTGATCACTCCCCTCTGGTCGATGCCACCCTCCTGCGGAGAAACCAGTCAGTGCCCGGCCGCTCCCGGCTCACCCAGGAGGACCGGGCCCGTCCCACTCACCTCCTCCTCCATGACCACGGGCAGGCTGGGGCACTGAATCTCCTGGGGCTTTTCAGACAGCACGGACTCCAAGCGAATCATTTTCTCCTTGGCTGTGGGTTTCTTGGCAGGCCTGGCCCCAGCTTTGCCTTTCTCCTGCCGGGGCGCTCGCTCTTCTGCTCCCGCAGCCGCCGGCTGCTGCTCCTGCTCCTCCGAGGGCTCCTTGGAGGCCAGAGCCTCGACCTCCTCCATCGTCTGCACGCGGTCCAGCTGCTCCGACAGCAGGATCTCCTCCTGGGCCTGGGGAGGGGGCTCAATTCCTGCACTCGGCTGCTCCTCGTCACAGATGGGGTGCACGGAGCTGTCCCCTGGAGGATCAGGAACCGCCTCCGTCTCGTCAGTGCCTGTGCATCAAGGCAACGGAGAAGAAAACAGCCACCCCGTGAGCAGGGAAGGGAAGGAAGCAAGGCAGCTGTAAGAAAACACAGCCCTCACGACCCAGCCCAGCCCCGCAGCACATCAGACATCGCGTGGGGCTGCGAGCTCCTCACCGTGCTGCTCAGGGCTCCCTGCCCGCCGCTGCCGCGCGTGCCGTTTCTGCTCAAATTCTTGCAGCAGGGCCTCCTCCTCTGACACCACCTCCTCCTCCTCCTCTTCCTCCTTGCTCTCCACAGCAGCAGGCACCGCAGCGTCTTCGCGAGCCTCTTGCACCTCAGGTTCCTTGGCCGGGTCGCTGGGCTTGCCCAGCATCCAGGGATTTGCTCTGTTGGCACTCACGGGGATGGTCACGGGCGGGAGGTCCTCCTCAGGCACATCCCCTGGCTCCTCCTCGGGCAGCTCCACCCGCACCTTCTGCATCAGCTCCTTGTTCCTGGCCAGCTGCTCCTGCATGGCCTTGCGGGCCTGGGAAGGGATCGAGACAATTCTAACACAGGCCAGAAGCAACGCGCCCACTTCCTTTGCCCCACCTCAGCCGTTCTCCCCTTTTCCCCAAGCCCCAGCTCACCTCCAGGTCGTACTTGGCCATAATGGCCCTGGAGCGGGCCCATTTCCCCTTGTTCTGGTGCTTGAGACTCATCCGCTCCTGAGGCAGAGGAAGAGGAACCCTCAGGAAGAGCACCCTCAGCCGGGGCGAGCTCCCGAGGGACGAGGGAGAGGCAAGCGAGCGGCACCTCCATCCGGAGCTGCTCCAGCTCCTCCAGCTTTGCCAAGGCGGCCTCCGGGTCCGACTTCTGCAGCAGCTCGAACTCCTTCAGGGCCTTGCGCCTCTTGCTTTTCTTCAGCACGCGGTGGTACCTGCGGCACGAGGGGGCAGGCAGTGAGACCTCCTGGTGTGAGCTCCCAGCCTCCTCTTTAGGAAGCTGCACAGGCAGCACCTCAGCCTTCCTCCACCCTTTATCCGTCCCCACGCGCCGGGCCCCGGCCCCCTCCCAGCTCCCCGAGCCCAGCACCATCTAAAATCTTACTTCTTACTCTTGATCTTCTTCTCTCGCCGAGCTTTGGCTTCGTAGTAGGACTGCAGGACCCGAGCCTTCTGCAGCTCCGCTCGCCGCCGCCGGGCCTGCCAGGGAGCGGGGTGTAAAGGGGAGGGCAAAGGAAGAGGCCCCCCCACGGGCAGCGCAGGGCTAAAGGGAAGCGTCGCCCACCTCCTCCAAGCTCATCGCCTGCAGCGAGGCTTTCTCTCGCGGCGTCAGCAGCGGGTCTGTGACGGGTTGCTGCGTTTTGTGGAGCAGCCCGAAGATCTCCTGCTCCAGGGGAGTTCGTGGCTGTCGGGGAGACAGATGGCACAGCAAGGAGGGGTGAAATAAGGAGCGGTGCAGGAGCCAGCACCCACACAGATCTCCCCGTCCCTTCTGATGCTTGAGCAGGCTCACGGGAGGGCACAAGCAAGGAGAAGTCCCAGGCCCCACAGCGCTGTGCCCAGATGAAACGAGAGGGAGCTCCAGGAGGGTGAAGAGGTGCTTGTTAAGCTCGGAGCTCGATGGGAACTGACCTCGCCCTGAGCTGGGGAAGCTCTCCAGGGACGGGAGCCTCTCCTGCTACGCAACACAGCCCACTGTGGGAACCCGCATTCAAAGCCAGAAGCATAACCAAGACTTATAGGTGGGTGCTATTTGGCAAACCAATTCCCTCCTCCACCTCCAGAGGTGGCTGAGGCCTGTGAGCGAGCACCCAGCTCCGTGCAGAGCCCGGGCAGCAGCAGGCTCAACCACACCTCACCACGCCTCGAGCGCTAAAGAGCGGGGAGGAGAAAGGCACCCGAGGGGTGTGAGAGCCCCCACCTTCCATGCCGAAACCACTCGCTCCAGGGGGGCAACCGCCGCGATCTCCTGCTTCAGAGGGAACACCAACTGCTCTGCTCGGCGGTTCTGCAGGACCAGCGGCTGCCACTTGCCAACGTCTTTGGAGGTCTTGACGTAGGCAGCCTCCCTCACGACCTGCAGGTGGGAGCGAGAAGGGAAAAGGATCAGTGGAGAAGATGAGCTGAAGAACGAGGAAAGCCAGGCAGCATCAGAGAGGAGCAGACGGCAGCCCAGGGGTTCAACCCAGCTGTCCCTTATGGCTGGAACTGCTTCCCCCTGCCACCCGCACATGCCCACGTACCCGCTCTCGCTCCTCCTTGCTGAGGGGCAGCTCCACCGCCTTCTTCTGCTTCGCTTTGCTCAGCTGCTTCTTCACGCTGCTCAGGGCGGACTGGGCACGGATGGGCTGCAGGAGCTCGGACAGGACCAGCTTCTCCCCAGCACCTACGGGAGATCACCCCACACATCAACACGGACACCCCACAACCACGCTGAGCAGCGCTATGAGCTCTGACTCTGTTTGCTACGAGCTGAGATGCCTTCGGCACAAACAACCAGCACGGCACCTCCCTGGGGATCTCCTCCATCCAGCCTGGAGAACCCGAGCACCTCCTGGGGGGAAGAAAAAAACGTGGGGAAAGCCCCGAGACCCTGAGGAGCCCTCACCTTTGGAGCTGACGTTGAACTCGGACACCTGCACGCTGGCCTCCGAGCGCTCGGCCAGCTTCTGCCTGCAGGAAAAGTGAAAAAAACAAAGGAAAAGAGGTGAAAAAGCTCCCTCAGCCCCGCCACGAGCGGCTGCTCGGGCTGCAGCCCAGCCGGGGGGGCTCGGGGCAGTGGGAAGGGGGGGTCAGGGGGTGCTGGGGGCTCACCGCTTGCGCCCCGACAGGGCGCTGACCGCCTCCAGGAGCTGCCGGTGCCGCCGGTCGCCATCCTCCGGGCCCTGCCGTGAGGCGCACAGGGCTGTGAGGGCCGGGCCCGCGCGGCCTGGGCCCGGCCCCAACCCCAATCCCAGTCTCAATCCCAATCCCGCTCCCCATCCCAATCCCGGCCCTAATCCCGATCCTAATCCCAATCCCGGTCCCAACCAGTGCTCCTCAGCCCGCCCCTCAGCCCCCCCCGGCCCCCCCCAGCCGCCCCTCACCTCCTCCTCGCCGCCGCTGCCCGCCGCCTCCTCGCCCAGCCACTCCTCCGCCATGCCACCGGAAGCGCGGCGCTCACTTCCGCCCCTCCTTGACGCCGCCGCCCGGCCACCCTTCCGCCCGGCGCGTGACGTCACGGCTGCCTTGGCAACGGGGCCGTGCCGCGGCCGGCCCGGGGCGGGGAGGAGGAGAAGGGGAGTGGGCGGGGACTCAACCCTGATCGACAGCTCTCTCCGCCAATGGGCGCGCGAGAAGAGGAGCGGGCGGGCCAATGGCGGCCGAGCTTTCACCTCCCTCACGGCGGCGGCGGCGGCGGCGCGGGGCGTGGCGGCCCCTCCCGCGGCGCTGGGGCAGGAGCGGCGCGGCCCGGCCCGCACCGGCACGGGGGTGAGCGCCCCACACACCCCCCTTTAACCCTTTTTATCCCTTTTCACCCCTTTTTACCCTTTTTACCTCATTACCGGCCGCCCCTTACCCCCCCGGTTCCCCGGTACCCGCCGGTTGCCATGGCGACCCCGTGAGGGGGGGGGGGGGGGGGGCTGCGGTTACCACAGCGCCCCCCCCCATAACTGAGCCCCTTTTGCTCTTTTTTTCCCCCCAAATTCTCCCGCAGCGCCCAGCCCAGCCCGGCCCAGGCGGGCCCCGAGGATGCCGGGGGCAGCGGCAGAGCAGCAGCAGCAGCAGCAGCAGCAGCGGCGGCGGTGGCGGCAGTGACGGCCCCGCCATGTCGGTGCTGGTGGCGAGGAAGAAGAAGAAGCCGAAGGTGGTGCGGCGATGGGAGCGGCTGCCCGGCAGGAACACCTTCTGCTGCGACGGCCGCATCATGATGGCCCGCCAGAAGGGCATCTTCTACCTGACGCTCTTCCTCATCCTCGGCACCTGCGCCCTCTTCTTCGCCTTCGAGTGAGTCTCCCCGCCCTCCCGGGAGGGTTTGGGGCCTTCACGGGGCTCCGTGACCCCCTCCCTGGATGCTGAGGCCTTGGGCACGGAACGGGCAGGGAGCCGTGGGCTGAGCGCTGCCCCGCAGCAGCCCCCTTTCTGCTCAAGGCCAAGTGCCTGGGGAGGCGCCGCCTGCCCCTTTAGGTCAGATCCAGGCTCAGGTTGGCCCAGAACCAAGAGCAGGGGGTTCCCCGTAACTCTACCGGCTCCTTGAGTCGCTTGGGCAGAGAAGTGACCTGCCAAAAAATGCGAAATTGCAAAGGTTTGGCTAACAGGGGTGGTAGTGTGGGGAGAGCACAGGCTGGCCCCTTTTTGCCCGCTCTGCAGAGGGGTCAACCTGAACGACAGCGAAACTCCCCTCCTCGGTCGCCGTCAGCGTGTTTGTTTGCGTCTCGGGGAGGCGAAGTCCTCGGTGGTGTTGGGCAACACGAAAGCTCCTTAAGCCAGGAAGGCAAAAGGAAGAACCTTGGGCTGGTTAAGCCCTAAGTTTTTCCTCCAGGTCTATAAAGTGCTCAGCATGTGTGCTGGCCTCTGAGGCACCTGCCCCAAAGCAGGGAAGTTGTCTCTGCTCCCTCTGGTCTAGCATTGCCCTCCTTGCTAGCAGACGCTGCTGGCAGCCTCGCAAAGGGCTTTCTGGAATGCCCCGCAGAGGCCTGCCGCGTCCCAGCAGAAGCAGCGGGGTGCAGAACATCGGGTACGGGGCTGCTCTTTCTGCTTAGTCGTGGTGGAGCTTTACAGATGGGTGTTACACATCCGTAACGCGAGGTGTTGGGGTTCCCGAGCTCAAAGAGCCCAAATTACCCCTGACTCAGCCCGAATTCACGGGTAAGGAACGACACCGCCGGTTGTTTGTTTTGTTTCACGGCTGAAAGATGGCACTCGGGCTTCCTGCCTTGTAGGAGTGAGCGTTACCACACTCCAGGAGCCCTCGTCGCCAGGGATGATTGCTCTCACTCCCTGTCCTGGTGGGACGAGCGGAGCCGTGTCTCCCTCTGCCCCGTTTTGCCCTTGCTGCTGACCGCCACGAACCCCGCTGTGGTTTGTGGGGCAGCCTGAACCAAGCCCCTGTTCCCAGCCCCGGCGGCGTGATGGAGCCGTGTGTCAGGGAGTGGGGTTGGCTGTGGCTTTGGGTCGCTGGCTGCGGGGCGGTTGTGACCTGGGAGGTGAGGGAAAGGTTGGAGAGAGAAATCTAAAGTGCTGACTTGATGGTGTCCGAGTGCCGTGCCTCGATGCTTCCTGTCTGAGCGGGGGAGCTTTGTTGTGAAATTGCTTGCGGGTTTTTCAATTTCGGGGGAGGAATGAAATGCCGCCTTCCAAACCAGAAACGCTGCAGAGAAGGCAGGCGGCCGGGCTGCTGCTGGAGGCCTGGCGACCCTTTGTGCCTTCTGCCTGAGGGTCGTGGCTTTGATCTTTGTGCTGGGCGTGTTACCCACCCATTTCAGCTCTGCGGCCGTGCCGAAATCCGGTTTTCCCCCCGGTGGAGTTTGTTCCAGGGAGGAACAACGCACGGCGTTAGGATTGGGCTCTGGAGAGCAGCAGACGGGGCAGGTGGAGGAGCCCTTTCAGCCCTCGCACGCTGACTGCAGGGTTTTCAGTGCCCGTTTCTTTCCGCTGAATCACTCGCGCAGTCACACCTTGCCTCAGCACGGCTCGGGGATGCCTGAAGCCAGCGCCGCTTTGCTCCTCGCCCTCCGCTTTGCTCCTCGCCCTCCGGGCTGCGCCGCCCGGGCTCTGATTGCAAACGCCCTCTCCGCGGAGCCGGTGCTGGCTGGCATCACACGTCACGAGATACAAGCCACGAAATGACAGCCTCTCTGTTCCTGCTGCCCGTTTTGCTTCTCCCCGCCTCGTTGCTGCGGTCTTGGAGGCTCGTCCGTGCCCCGAGGAGGCCCCGAGGACGGACCCAGCTGCTGGCGCCGTACCCAGCCGGCTCCTCCCTCCCTCCCCGATAAAGCAGAGGCGCTGCGCCGGCTTCTCGAGCGGTGCCAGGCAGCCGCCGAGCGCTCTGCTCTGCCCAAGGGCACCTCTCGCCGCCGCCCCGGCTGAAAGCGGCTGCTTCAAGGCTGAGGCTGGTCCCCGAGGCCTGGGTTTCATTGGGCCTGCTCTCTGACCGGCGCTGCGTCACGTGGAATCGTGTTTCACAGCCCCTTTGCGTTGTTTCGGGCGTTTTATCGGGTGTGGAGGCTGCTGCGTGAGGGTGCTCAGCTGCCTCGCCGTGCCCGTGGCGCCTGGACACGATGAGAAACCCTGGCGAAATTGCTCTGGGATGGAAGCTGAGGGGATGGGGTGTCCCCGCTCTGACTGCCAGGGCTTTCTCTTTCCAGTTTGCCAGCGTGGCTGTACCGGCTCTCCTCAAACGGCAGGCACTCGCTTCTCCAAAGCGGCTGCAAGAGAACTCAAATTTCTTTTGTCTGCAGCCTTTCGCACAAGCGAGACGTTTGTAAATGTTACAGGCGAGATAGCGCCTGCAATGCCAGGCTCCTGGCTGCACGAGGGGGCTGCTGTTTGCTTTTCCAACAACCGAGCACGTGGATCTTTTATTATTTTTTTTTTATTCTCTCTACGTCCTTAGCTATGCAGAGACCCAATTTTGTTTGTTTTTCTGATAAATCTGAAATCCTAGGCCGGGCCCGTTGGTTGCTGATGATATTTCTCTGCTTTGACAGCGTCCGGGGTGTGCGCATGGTGTGGGCGTGCGTGGGTTTGGGGAAGTTAAAGGGGTGATTTTAGAGTGGGGTTTAAACAAACTTCACAGCAGAGCTCGTGCTGAGCCCTGCAGGGACCCAGAGGTGGGATGCCCGGCCTGGTGGTCCCGCCTGAACCCTGTGCTGCTCAGGAGCTTCAGCAGAGCAGTCCGTGCTCCTCGGGCTCGCCGCACCTCCGTCTGTTGCTTCTTGCTGCTCCCCCCTTCCCCGTGGTAATGATCTCTTTGTCTGAGGCTCCCCCCTCCCCCCGGCGTGCATTGTAATGGTGCTGTTGTCTGATATTAGACGGCAAAATGCTCAAGAGCGCAGCTATCGCCCTGGGAGGGGAGGAGGAGCCACATCCTTCCAGCCCAACAGCGCAGCTCTGTCGGTGCTCAGCTTTCCCAAACAATGGCCCTTTAAAATATCAGTTCCTCAGCAGCGCGAGTGACTCGCTGTGCTTAATCCCTCTGCACACCAGGCACAGGACGAAGGCTCCGCAGCGCTCCGGGCACCTGAGATCTCTTCTTTTTCCTCCTGAGCCAGGGGCCCGGCCTGCCCCGTGCCTGTTCCGCGATGGAAGAGCCGGGGAGAGGCTGGAGGATGCTGCTTCACTTTCCCACAGCAGAGAGGACACTGATGCGCTCGTCTTCTGTCTCCTAAAATTGCAGGCTTCTTCCCCTGCCTAACAGCAGCCCGGAGGCTCCTCTGGCTGTGCCCCGGGGCACGTGTGCCTCCCCGAAGGGCTGGCTTCTCCGGGAAGATGCCCGGGGAGCAGGTCACGTCCCACGTTGCCGCTTCTCTGCAGCCCATGCAGGGCTGATCCCATTTGTTCTCAGGTGCTGCCGCGTAAAGCTTTTGGCTCCATGCGTGGCAGAGCACACCCAGAGCAGATCACGTGCACGAGGGCAATAAATCTCTTTGCTGGTGGCACGCTGGAGAAACTTAGGAAGGTGTCAGCGTGATTCTGGGGCTGGGAGCCCTGGCGTGGTTTCAGCTCGGCTTTAACGCAGTGCACGGATCCTTTTCCGAAGCCTGTACCGTGTTCCCGGTGTTCCAGCAGCCATAAAAGCCGGCGTGTCAGCTGAGCAAGGCTCAAGCTGCAGCCCTCGGAGGCAGAGCTGCTGCGGGAATCAACCATATTCCTCCCCAAAACGGGATCCAAGGTTGCTGTTTAATCGCTGGCTGACTCGCAGCTCTCCAGCTAGACTTTGTCCTTGCAGGGGGGAAGGCAAAGTTATCTCAGGCTGCGTTAACGCGCTAAGCCCAGCCCTCTGCCTGCTGGGGCTGGCTCTGCACGTGGACGGCTCCAAGGGTTGCGTGGTTCTGAGTAGCTGCGGGGCTGGCAGTGTCTAAAATTAACCACGGTGGTTTGGGGGCCGGGCCCTGTGCGTCCCAGTGGCCAAAGCGTCCTGTGCTGTATGGGCTGGGGCGTGCACGTGTGCGGTCTCTGCTTGGTGGCACGCAGAGGATAGTTGCTGGAGTCAAGCAGCAGCAAATGCAAGTCCTCTGAGCTGTCCTGCAGGGGGTGGTGAGTATTGGGGTGGCAGAATTTGGGAGCAGTTGGAGTGAGAAACTTCAGAGAAGCTGTGGGTGGGACGGCTACCCAGAATTAATCAGCCGATGTATGGATGGCATGGAAATCCCCCTGTTTAGGACGATGAGTCCACTGGGGAGGATGATCCTGTGTCATTCACCACCGCAGCCTTGTGCTTTCCTTGAGAACAGCAGTGGCTGGGAGCAAGGGTCTGGGCTGGGTCCATCTCTGCGGGCTCAGAGGCATCGGGAGGAAGCAGGAGAAATGAGATGTGTGAGGAGAGGTGAAATGCCCCACGAGTCGGGGCTTCAGGCAGGGCTTCCCTTCAACCAGAGGAAAGCTCCGTAAGACCATCACCCCATCATAAGCAGGGCTTGCTAAAGAAACCAAGGGAAAAAAATGTTTTTAATTGGCCTGATGCCACTCTAATCCATGCCTTCTGTACGGGCCTCTGCATAGCCTGTGCTGAAGTGCCCGTGGAGGCACCTCCGGGTGTCCAGAAGTAGCATGAGGCACAATGAGATTATTCTCCTTTGTCTCTTTGTACCACCTCAGTTGACAGGATTACCAACGCGAATTTCTCCTCGAGCCTGTCTGTATTTATAAACTCCACAATCCGAGGCTGAGCGGCCTCTCTCAAGCTGATGTTGTCTTGAGGCAGGCGTGGGAAGAGACTTCCCGCTTCATCTGGAGCTTTTGAGTCAGAAAAGTGGAAGGAAGCCTCATGTTTTGTTGCACATGCACGTAGCGCTCATAGTGACCCTCGCAGAGAAGCCCGGGGTGCAGTTAAGCCTCGGAAGGTGCTTTCTGTTTCCCTGCAGGTGTCGGTACCTGGCAGTCCAGCTCTCTCCAGCCATCCCCGTGTTCGCAGCGGTTCTCTTCCTCTTTGCCATGGCCACGCTCCTGCGGACGAGCTTCAGTGACCCCGGGGTGATCCCGAGAGCCCTGCCCGACGAGGCGGCCTTCATTGAGATGGAGATCGGTGAGTGCTGCAGCTGGACGGGTGGTGGCTGGAAAAGCCTTGCTGGTTTTGGTATAGTCTAGGTTCTCTGCAGAGCTTTTTTTTTGTCCCTTTTGGGGACCTCCAAAAGTGGGAATTGCCCCAGAGCGAGCATCTTACCGCCTCCTGGCTAATTCTGCTTGGCTGAGTCTCAGCTGGTGCCAGATTCCTTCCCGGGAACCTTTTCGTGCAGTTTCCTCTCCTGTAGCTGTGAGCATCCAAACTTTGCTCTTGGTAAGGGGTGCAGGAAGCTTGACGCAGGCCCTTCGGTCCAGCAAGCAGAGAGGATGTTTGGTGGACACAGTTCTACTTCTTGTTTTGGTGTTTTTTTTCCTCCCCTTATGCTCCTGAAAACTCTGGCACCTCGTTTCCAAGTTCCAAGTTGGCTCTGGAGCGTGTGAGCAGAGGTGTAGGCACTGGCTGGAGACCCAGCAGGCTCCGATCCATCTGGTAGAAGGCGCAAGGAGAGCTGTTGCTCTCGTCCTGTTGTGCTGTAGCAGCAGATCTGATCTCTGCTTGCTTCCCTCTCTCAGAGGCCACCAACGGGACCGTGCCGCAGGGTCAGCGCCCGCCCCCGCGGATTAAGAACTTCCAGATCAACAACCAGATAGTGAAGCTGAAGTATTGCTACACGTGTAAGATCTTCCGTCCGCCCCGTGCCTCGCACTGCAGCATCTGTGACAACTGTGTGGGTGAGTAGGAAGGGCTGGGGCTGTTCCTGCAGCCGCCTGCTAGGTGAGAGCCTTTGGAGGAGAGCAGGCGAAGAGCTGCAGCAGCTCTGGCTCCGTGTCCTGCCTCGTACCGCGCATGCCTCCAGCAGCCGTGGAGGAAGTCCAGGACGGTGTTGCCTGAACAGATGGGGATGGCCTGCCTCGTCTTAAGCCCAAGGAGCTTGAGATTTGCTCAGAACCTGAAGCCAGATGGTTCGTCTTTGCCAGCATCTCGTTGGCAATAGCTGGTCTAATATAAATAAATTATCCGGGGAAATGTGAAAGCAGCTCCTCGCACCATCTTGGAGGCTATGCTGTTATGCTGAGTGCCCCTTTTTTGTCCCCCCCACCACCACAGCAGCTCTTTTAGCCCTTGTATGTGCCATAATTAGCTCATATTCAGCGTCCCTTCTCGAGGAAGGAATCCCATTCTGGATCCCTCTCCTTCAGTACAGCCTCCCAGCCCTTTGAGCACTTAGGCAGTCTCTTGAACCTTCCTGTAATGATCCCAGTAGGAGTAAAGCAGCATGCAGGTGAGACGAGAACTGCTGAACTCCCAGGCCTTCAGCCAACCTGTGTGCTGCTTTCAGAAAAGCTCTTACACCTCAGGTCCGTGGGAGAGGAGACATGCATGGGGTGAAGCTCTTAAATTTTACCTTAATGCACCGACTGACTCCAAGGAGGAGTTTTGCACTCTCCTACCTGGCTTCCACTACCCCTTCTGATGCAGGGACCTGAGTTAGCAGAGGGGCAAACTCAGTGGCCCAGGGAGTCCTTGTCAGCCTTGTACATTTTTGAGTTTGGGGCCCAGGGATAAGCGCCTAGAAGCAGGCAGAGCTGTGCTAGAGCAGTGCTGATCTCCATCTTCACTTCCACAGAGCGCTTCGACCATCACTGTCCCTGGGTGGGCAACTGCGTGGGGAAGAGGAACTACCGCTATTTCTACCTCTTCATCCTCTCGCTCTCACTCCTCACCATCTACATATTCACCTTCAACATAGTCTACGTAGCACTAAGTGAGTCTGCCTGCGGGGAGGTGGCTGGCTGGGCTGGCCGAGGGGGAGGGAGAACGTGGATGGTGTTCCCGACCCAGAACTGATGGAGTGGGAAAGGGAAATGAACTAGATGCAACCTCCCGGAGACCAAATGCCTCTTTTTTTGTGTTGCCAGAATCTCTGAAGATTGGGTTTCTGAACACGTTGAAGGAAACCCCAGGGACATATCCTTCCCCAGTGCCAGAAGGGTTGGCTTCTAAGTTGGTGAGGGAGTGCAAGCTGCATGATGGGGGGATTGAAGCCTTGATACTTCACTGGGTTTTCCAGGGCATCACCTCCCTGCCTCCTTGATTACAAGGCAAAGAGCGATTTTTGTGGTTTTGGGGAGGGGGGTGAAACAAAAAACTGCCTAGGTGAAGAAGCAGCAGGGCTAACGCACCGGAGTGTCGTGACTCAGCTCGGGTGTGACTGTTTGCCCGGTCCCTGCTCCTTAACTGCTCTCACTGTACTGGAGGTGCTCATCTGTTTCTTCACCCTGTGGTCGGTGGTGGGGTTAACTGGGTTCCACACCTTCCTGGTGGCACTGAATCAGACAACCAACGAAGACGTAAGTGAAGTCCCTTTGTTCCCCTGAGCCACCCCTCTTCCTCTTCGCTTCCTCTGTCACAGCTGCCTCCACCTTGCCGACGTGCCCTGCTCGTGCTGAGGCTGGGGGCGGATGCTGGGGGAGCAGACCTGAGCTTGTGCCCTGTCTGTTGCAGATCAAGGGTTCCTGGACTGGGAAAAACCGTGTGCAGAATCCCTACAGCCATGGCAACATAGTGAAGAACTGCTGCGAGGTGCTCTGCGGGCCTCTGCCCCCCAGGTAGGCTCTCGAGGAGCAGCCCTGCCGTTCTTGCCCCCCTCCCTGGGGTCCCGTGGAGCTTTCCTTGCATGGCTGCAAGACCTTTCTGCCAGTGCTGCGTGTGCGGAGAGCTTCTGGAGGTCTCTTGGGATGGAGCCAGCCCCTCTAGGGAAGAAGGTTTTTTGTTGCCTTCCAGTGATTCACGCGTGTGGTGTGGTCCCTCACGCTGTGTGTTTTTGGGAAGCAGAGGAGTGACTTCCCTTCCCCGGGACAGCGCATGCAGAGGAAGCTCAGGGTGCTTGTTTCGGTGGGCTCCCACCCTCTGTAGCGGGCTGTTCTCTGGAGGGCTTGATTTTCGCAGGAGGAACGGAGGCACTCCTAAGATTAACTAGGAGTTAACTAGGACTGGGCGGAGCACAGCCTGGTTTTGGAGGGGGGGGAACGCCTTCCCTTGGCTTCTGTCTTCCACCAGCGATTTTCCTGCTAGAGAAGAAGCTGGTGCGGAAGAGGCGCAGGGTCTCTGATGATGGGATTTTGTTCTTTCAGCGTCTTGGACAGACGGGGCATCTTGCAGCAGGAGGAGAGCACAGCTCAGGAGGAGACCGGCACGCGGGGGTCCAGCGCTCCAGAGCCCACTGCTGCTCAGGGCCCTGGTGGGCAGGAGGAGGAGAGCAGCGCTCAGCAGGACGGCAGCCTTCCTCACCCCAGTGCCGTGAGTGATCCCCCTCTGCACGGGGTTACCTGCGGGCTGCCGCTTTGAAACGAGCTCTGCTTTGAGGGCAGGGTTGAACACGAGACCCTCGCTGCTCCTTTCCTTCCCAAATTGTTCTGTGAGCACGGTGTGAAGGGGCTGGGCCCGCTCCTGCTGGAGCGCGAGCTGCCTGTTTCTCTAGCACAAACACACCAGAGCACTGCTGGAGCAGCCCAGTGCTCTGGATTTTTCACGAAGCTGATGTGCTGCCTGCTTGGTGAGGGGAACAGCTCTTGTTTCCCGTTTTCCCAAGCGCAGCTGAGAGCTCTGCTCCTGGGGCTGGAGGCAAGGGCTGCAGGGGAGCCGGGCCACATCTCTGTGCGCAGACAGATCCTCCGTGCATTCGTGCCAAATCATTGCTGTCTTCTCTCCTCCAGGTCCCCGTGCCGTCCCTGAGCAACGCTGAGATGCCGGAGGAAAAGCAGCTAACGACCGGGGAGCTCCCGGCCCCATCCCAGGACGCTGGGCAAGCAGAGCACTAGCCTCTGCTTGAAAGGGAGAACTTTCTTGTTTTGTCTAATCAAAGCTGGAAGTGATTGAGGAGAGGAGGAGATGGGCTGGATGGCAGGCAAATGATTCCTCACGGCCGTTTTGCTTTAGTCATTATTCATCCGGAGGCGCAGGTGGCGTGGGCTGGCTCTGGCCATGCACGGGGGCAAAGGAGAACGAGCACGAGCAGCCCAGCGCGCCCACTGAGGGACGCTCCCCGCCACCGGGGCTGGTCTCCCTGCGGGCCGAGGCAGGACCTCTTGCTCTGCAGGTTGTCCTCAACGCTAAATGCTGGCTTGGTGGCCCGAGCTGTCCCTCCGCCTGGCCCTGACTGACCCGCTGACTTGTGGTCAAGCAGCTCAGAAGCGATGTTAGGGTCGGCCTGCTCCCTGCTGCTGAGGAATCCTGATGGGAAGGAGCAAGTGATTAATGGCAGTAACGTCCTCTCTCCCCTCCTCCCTCCTTCCTCTAATCTGTGGCATTGTTTTATTGGTTAACGTGGCAGGGGTTGTCAGGAGACGTCGTTTTGGTGCCAAAAGGGCCGAAAAAACTGGGAAGGTGTTCTGCTGGCCGTGTTTCTTACAGTAGCTTCCTTCCCTTGCTCCCTCTTCTCACGGGGCTGGGGGGCAGGAGCGGGGCAGCCCCATCCTCCTGCCGCTCGGCTCTGCCCCTGGGGGTGCCCGCAGGGTGTGCCAAGCTGCCGGGCAGGACCTGCCCACGTCGCTGCCCCCCAGGCTCGTGCCGGGGCTGGCCGTGCTCCTCCTGGGTGCCTGCGCCCTGCACGGGCTTCCCCCTGCCCTTCCCCGCTGGGCTGCGGCACGCCGCTCTGCGCAACCTCAGCCCCGGTTCTGTGTCGTGTTGTCGTGTCCCGTGCCCCCTCCTCCCCGCCCCTTGCCCTGCATTTCTCAGCCATCCTTGGCTGGCTTTCAGAGCCTTCAGTTTTCCCCTCCAGGCTTTGCCGGCCGTCCTGGCTGCGCGGCGTCCTCCCCAGCAGAGGAGGGAGGAGAGGTTGGTGGCCACTCCTGGTGCCGTGGGCTCTTTTTCCACTGCAGCACCCCTTCCCCGGGGGCTCCCGCGGAGGCTGGAGGTGGAGGGAAGGCCACGAGGTGCCCTGGCAGCTCTCCATCCCCATCCCCTGCCGGGTGTGCTCGGTGCTGCTGCCTCCCGCGGACATGCGGCAAATGGACGGTGGGTGGAGATGTGGCAGGGGCGGCCCAGCTCGCTTCTCCTCCCAGCAGCGCGTTCCTCCCGCCGTGCTCTCAGCACCGTGGCTTGGAGCAGAGCCGAGGGAGCCCGCTCCTCGAGCTGCTCCTCTTGCTGCTCCTTGCCAGCTCCTGAGCGAGCTCGGGGTCCCCCCACACGGGGCTGGAGCCACCGACACCCTACGGCCAGACCGGCTGCGGTGCCCTCGCTGGTCCCGTGCACGGCCCGCGGCAGCCAGAGCTGCCCCCTCCTCTCCTGCCTGCCCCCAACGCGCTACTGACCAAATCTCAAACTCGTTGCGAAAAGAAAAAAGTGTATTTTTTTGGTTTTACTAATCTATTTTCTAACGCGGTGTGTCGAGTGCTGCCTGCTGGGGCCGTCACAGATGCTGCCTGCACCTGTGGTTCCTGTCTGCTCTGTTCAGGTTCTTGTGAAGGAAGTGGGGGTAGGGTGAGGGTTGGTTTTTCTTTTTCTTTCTTTCTTCTTTTTTTTTTTTTCTTTTTTTTTTTTTTTTTGAAACAATGAAGGAAACTTAATTGGTTTGGAAAATGGCTGAGCTGTAGCCTCTGCCTCTCTCTGTTTATGCCTCCCAAAGCGGGCTGCCTCCTTCCCTGTCCCCTGGGGCTTTCCAGCCTCTGCATCTCCCACATCCACGGTGTGCTCCAGCCCGCCCCTGTCCTATCCGTGTCCTGCCGTCCTCTTCCCCGAGCCGTTGGGGCAGGTAGGAAGCAGACCGAAGGCCAGAGCACGCTTTTATTGAGCTCAAGCGCAAAGGAACAAACTCGGGGCCCAGCGGTCTGGCGTGGCATGGGAGCTGGAGCTGGGTGAGTGCAGCCCTGAGAGCTGGGGCCGGGCGAGCGCTGCGCTGCCACCGAGCCCGGGGATTTGTCACCCGTGGGCTCCTCTTCTGCCGCCTTCCCTGCCTGGCTGCAAGGGGCTGTCCTGTGGGGTCCCTGGGGACGGCCCTGTCCACCTGCGGGCAGCGCGGTGCTCGGCTCTGCTCCTCCGCCGTCCCCTCCGGAGCAGGCTGCTGAGTGTCCGTGCTCCCCCCGGCCATCCTGCTGGGGCTGGGCTGCTCGCAGGGCTTGGCTGAAGCTCTCCCGCCGGCCTCCCGCTGTCTGCTTTGGCTGGGCAAGGAGGAGGACGGGGGAAGGCGGCACCTCCCTGCTGCTGGCAGCGCTTCCTTGCTGCCTCTGCTTGCTTGCACCCATCCGCGCAGCAGCGGGTGTGCTCTGTCCGTGCCATCCCTGTCCTCGCAGGCTCCCCTGCGCTCGTGTTTGCTCAGCCCAGCCAACGAGGGCTCCTGGGGGAGCTCCTGAAGCTGTGGACAACACGGGGCAAGCCCAGGAGGGGCGGCCCAGCCCCGGCTCGCAGACCTGCGGCATCACCTGGGCTCACCCAGGGCGTGGGGCAGTGCTGTGGGGCAGCGCAGAACGTCCCGGGGAGCAAACCTTGGGGGCTGAGCCCCCTTCAGAGCAGCTCCTGCGTTGGGGTCCCATCCCCACGGCTCGCCCGCACCCCGGCAAGCTTCCCCTCCTGTCCGCTGCTGGGCCAGAGCCGGCGAAGCGCTTTTGGGGGGAGATCAGGAGGACTCTGCTGGGGACAGAGCCCCCGGCTGCCCCTCGGGGCCTGCCAGCTCAGCCTCCTCCCGGCTGCCGTCCAGCGTCTCGGATCCTTCGAAGCAGCCCGAGTCCCGCGGGATGTCCCCCTTGGGCTCCGAGGGCGAGGGCTGGGCTTCGGAGCTGTCACCTTCCTCTGACTCGCTGGCTGCTGGGGGCGAGAGGACGAAGCATCAGCTCCCCCCCCGCCCCGGCAGCCAGCATTGGGGACAGCGTGGGATGTCCCCTGCCACCCGCCCAGCCCTTACTGTCGTAATCCAGGAGGAGCTCGGCGGCTGTCAGCAGCTTGGCGCGGTGCTGGGGGTCCGTGATGTTCAGCTCGTTGAGGTGGGTCTCCCGCAGCTCCTTGAAGTCCTCCAGGGTCTGGTAGCCGTTCAGGAGCAGGGTGGAGGTGTGCTCCTGGGGCGGAGAGGGGAGGGGATGAGACTCCCTCATCCTCCTGCATCGCTCTGCTCCTCCTCACGTCCCCTCCCCGCCTCTCCCGGGTGCCCCGTGGGTCCCCAGCCCTCACCTGCAGGTTGATGCGCTCCAGCAGCTCGTGGAGCGTCTTGGGCTTGGGCCTCTTGCTCTTGCCCTGGCCCCGGCTCTTGCGGGCAGGGGCCATCTCCTCGGGGATGATGTCCACGTAGATGAACTTGAAGGAACCCACCTTGTTGTTGAGCAGCCCCGTCCAGGTGCCCACGGGCGGCTTCTCGATGATGCCGATGATGTCCCCTTTCTGGCCCAAAAATCAGGGGGTGTGTGAGGGAAGGAGCCACCGCCACCCCCCGCTCCTTTGGGGCCGTCCCCAGCCCTCCCATCCCGTGCTCACCCGCAGCTTCAGCGAGTCCTTGTCGTAGGGGCTGGGTGTGAAGTCGGTGTGGACACGGGCCCTGCCACAGAAGGGGCCGGTGTAAGCCGGGCCCCCCTCCTCCAGCCTCAGGCTGTCCCGGTTGTTGGGGCCGGGGCTGGACGCCTCGCTGCCTGCGGAGGGGAGAGGGAAACGGGGTCAGGACAGGGTGAGGGTGAGGTGAGGGGCTGGGGGCCTGGCCGGGGGCTGTGCTCACCGCTGGACAGCTGCCGGCTGACGGCCGGGTGCCCGTCCTCCTCCAGCTCCATGTAGGACAGGGGCACCTTCTCGTGGCTCGGCTCCTCCGTGCTGCTGGTTGGGGACAGCGGGGACGGGGACCCCTCCTCCTCCGCCTCTGCCTGCTGGGGGGAGCGGGCTTGGTGGAGCCGGGGAGCAGGGGCTTTGGCCCCGCACCCCCCCAGGGCACCCTGCTCACCTTCCCCTCGGCCAGCGCCTTCACGGCCATCCTGCCCATCTTGCGGTTCATGGTGCGGGAGATGACCGCCCGCCACTTCTTGCCCAGCTTCATCCCGCTGCTCCGCGCCGCCTCCTCGGGGGCTGCGCTGCTGGGCTCATCCTCGGGGATCTGGCAGAGGGAGGGGAGAAGGAGAGGGGAGGGCGCGCTGGGGCTGCGGGGCTCCCCGGGGAGCAGGACCCCGAAGCTGGGCATGGTTGAGCCCCCGGGGCTGGGGGAAGGGGGCTCAGGAAGGGGCTGTGGGCGAGGAGGGGCACTCACGTTCTCATCCAGGTTGAACTCCTTCTCGCTCGCCACCGGGGAGCTGACTTTGGCCTTGGCAAAGTCCTTGAAGCTGCTGGAGCGCTGGAGGGAGAGCTGGGGGCAGATGGAGAGGGGTGAGGGCCCCCCCCGCCTTGCTCCCCAAAATCCCGCATGCCCCAGCGCTGCCTGAAGCCCTTCCCAAGCCCTTGCCCACAGCCGTGCGCCTTCCTCCCCTAGTTCTCCTTTTTGCCAGCTCAGCCCAGCATCATTTTCTCTTTATTTCTACTCCTCAGCCCACCAGACCCGGGCGAGGTGAAACCCTTTGCACCTCCCTCGAGTCTCCTCGAGCCAAAACCTCCTTGCTCTGCGGTTACCACCCCGGCCTCGCTGCGTGGCCGCCCGCCCGGGGAGCGTTGCGCGATCGGCTGGCGGCGGCGGCGGGGAGGAGCCGGTGTTGCAAGAGCAGCACCCGGCAAAACCACGAGCTCTGGGGGGGCACCGGCTGCCCCGCGGGGGCCGTGCCCACGGCAGCTCGGCAGAAATGGAGCGAGAGGGAAGTGAGAGCAGCGGGTGCGGCCGGGGCCGGGCAGGGGATGCCCAGCGGGGGCTCGCTGAGCTCTCCGGGACACCCCTGCTGCAGGGGGATGCTTCATCCAAATTTCCCCCCGGCAGCCGGGTGCTTCCCAGAGCGGGACCTTGCCCTTCTTGGGCACACGGTGGTTGGCAAGGGACCCTCAGCCCGGGCCTGGCGGGGTCGTGCCGGTGCCGTGCCGGTGCAGGGCTGCTGGAGGAAGCAGCCGACACACGTGACGGGGCTGCAGCCTTGCGCTGCCTCGACCGCAGACACCTTGCTGGGAGCTGCGCGCCCGGCAGCCCGCGCGGCACCGCCGTCATCCTCTGCCCGGGCAGGAAATGGCAGCGGTCGCCCACACCGCGGGGAGCAGCGGGGTGGGGGAGGCTCTGCCCCCGGGGCATGGCCCCACTGCTCCCTTTGGTCCCCCTGCCTGCACCCACACAAACTGGGGGGGGGTCTGAGCATCCCCAACCCGCTGCTGCTGCCTGCAGCGCCCTGGGGACGTGATGCTGCTGCCCTCCTGCTGCTGCTGCTGCCTGTGGGCTGGGGGCAGATGGGGGCACTGGGTTGCAGCCGTGCGCCCCGGGGCCACAGCAGGGTGTGGGGCAAGGCAGCTGCGAGCAAGGACCGTGCAAGCAAGGCGGCGGTGGCTTCGGTGGCAGGGCCCGGCTGCTGGCACTGCCATCCCCCAGCCCCAAGGGGTTCTGCCCCACGGCCACCCCAGCCGCCCAGACCGCATCTCCCCATCCTCCCTGCCCCACATCCTGCAGGTGGAGAGGGTGGGCATTTTGAGGGGGAGGGTGCTGGGGTCTGCTCCGGTGGGCGCTCACCTTCCTGTGGCACGGCTCCTTGTCGCTGGCGTTGGAGGGCTTGCGGCGCAGCATGGTGCTGGGACCCCCCCGGGGGGCTGAGCGCGGCGCTGGACCGAGCGCCTGGCGGGGCACGTACCGAGGCGCCGGCACCGAGGCCGGGAAGCACACAGGAAGCCAGCAGTCACATGAGAGGTGCTCGCAGCGGCGCAGCTCGGGGCTCGCTCGCTGGGCCAGGAGGAAGGAAGACCTCCTCGAAGCATCTGCCCTGCCCAGGGCCCCCAGGAGGGGTGCCAGCATCGCGCCCCGGTGCCCACCACCGGTGCTGCTGATGGGCTCGGTGTCCCCACCAGGCAGAAGAGGAGGGTCCCCTGCCCATCTGCTGCGCCCCCTCCCCGTTCCCCTTCATCCTCCTTCGTGGGACATCGGGCTGGGATGTCCCCTGCACCCTCAGGTTGTCCCCGCGCTGCAGAAGGGCAGCTGGCCCCAGGTGGGACGGGCACACGAGCGCCTCACCCCCCCCGTCGGTGTTGACACTGTTTAATCGCAAGGATGAAAATAATAATAAAAAAAAAGGCAAAACGAGGAAGTGAGCGGTGGTGAGGAGAAGCTGCCTCGGCAGGGGAGGAGTCGGGGTCAGGCCTGCAGCCCCGCCAGCAGCACGGAGAGGAGCGAGCCCATGGCCAGCGTGCCCAGCGTGGCGGTGACGGTGGCGGCGGCGCTGGCCAGCGGGAAGGGCTCGGTGTTCCTCTGCAGCCAGCGGTACTCCTCCTCCAGCTGCTGCCGCTGCAGCTCCGGCCCCACACGTGCCCGGATGGTCTCGTAGTAGGCGTTCAGGTACTTTATCTGCAACCAGAGGCAGCTGCAGGGGGCTGTCCCGGCGGTCCCAGCCCATCCCGGTCCCCTGGCCCCTCTGCACCTCTCCGTCCGTGTGTCCGGCCCTGCCTCGGCCCCGTTTGCCCACCCGGGCTCTGTTTGTTCACCCCCTCCCAGCGTCCCCGTACCTGCTCCTGCGACAGGAGGCTGACGTCGATGAGGTTGCGGTCGTAGGGCACCAGCGACACCACCTCGAAGGTCAGGAAGGGCTCCTCGCCGGTCGGGTGCTGCGGGGGGGAGGCCGTCAGGTGGGTGCCCCCCACTCCTCGCCTGGCGCAGCCCCCCCGGCACTACAAGATGGGAGCAGAGAAGGGGTCCCCACCACCCCAGTGCTGTTCCCAAGCCCCCCGCCCTCCCCTCTGCCCCCCCAGCCTGATGCAGAGCCCTGGGAACGGAGGTTGGGGTGAGGAGGCAGCTCCAGGCCCCTCGGGCAGCGGGGCGAGCGGGGCCGGCGTTACCTTGGTCTGCGCCTGCACCACCAGGGCGACGTCCTCGATGCGGATCCCGAACTCTCCATCCCGGTAGTAGCCGGGCTCTGAGGACAGGAGTGGTGCCAAGAAAGTGCCAAACCCCAGCAGCCCCCCCACCCCGAGCCCATGGAGAGCCCTGGGCTGGCTCCCCAGAAGGGCAAAAATTTGGGGACCTTGGCACAGCCCCGCACCACCCCCACGCCGGGGGGCACCTACCGATGGAGGTGAACATGCCCGCGGCCAGCGGCACGTTGTTGGACTGGAAACCCACGGGCCCTGCGGGAAGGGGGAGACACCCTCAGGGGGGGAGCCCCGGTCCCGCTGTCCCCAAGCTGCCCCCCAGCACCTACACTCGTGCACCGAGAGGAAGTTGCCGATGCCGTGGCCGGTCCCGTGGCCGTAGTTGAGCCCCACGTCCCAGAGCGCCCGGCGGGCGAAAGCCTCCACGTTTCTGCCTGGAGGGCGAGGAGGTGAAAAGGGGGGGGCTGGAGAGCGGGGAGGGCATCCCCTGCCCTGCTCGCCCCGTGCTGGATGCGGCACCCACCGGCCGTGTTGGGGGGGAAGACGAGGCGGGAGAGGTCGATGTTGCCCATCAGCACGCGGGTGTAGGCTTCCTAAAGGTGGCACGGGGAGGGGGCTGAGCGTGGTGCAGAGGGGATGTCCCCGTCCCCCCCCTCAACGCATCCAGCCTCCGGCCACAGCCCCAGCTCCGTGGCTGGGACGGCCCCGTGGTGCCAGCACCTTCTGCAGCGGGGTCGGCGTGCCCCAGTGCACGGTCCGTGTGATGTCCGTGGTGCCATCCCTGCGGAAGGGGGGACGTGAGCCCCAAATCCTACAGGGCTGGGCGCAGGGTGGGACGGGGGCAGGGGGTGGGATACGCACAGGTACTGCCCGCCGGTGTCCGCCAGGTACATCTCATCCACCGACAGCTTCCTTCGGGTGGTGTTGGATGGGCTGGGGAGGAGAAGGGGGGGGTTGCTGGTACCCGGGACCCCCTCCAGCTCCGCATCCCCCAGCCCCCGACCCCAAACCTGTAGTGGGCGAGCGCCGCGTTGAGCCCGCTGGCGGAGATGGACTCGAAGCTGGGCCCGCGGTTGTGCTGCTGGGCCCTGGAAGGCAGCAAGGGGAGAGAGAGAGAGATGCCAGGGGGGGGTCCCTGGCACCCTGCGCCCCCCCCCCTCCCCAGGTGCGGCGGCACTGACCGTCGGAGGGCATCGATGTGGCGGGCACCCAAAAACTCGTCCACCTGCCCCTGCGGCACCGTCTGCTCCAACCACAGCAGGTACTGGATGACGGCCACCGCGTCCCGGACCTGGGCACGGCCCCATCGGCATCAGCACCCCCCCCAAAAAACCTTCTGCCGGGGGGTGAGGAGGAGGGGACGGCCCTTACGTGAGCGGCTCGCAGCAGCTCCTGCTCCTTGCTGTTCTTCACTGCCTTGGCCAGCATCACCGGGGAGTAGCTGTCCTCCAGCAGCTTCTCCTGCGAAGGAGCCGCTTGGGGGGCACGGCCACCCCGTTCCCAGCCCCAGCAGCCGAGCTCGGAGCCGGATGGGGGTGTCACGGCCCCGTGGGGCGCATCCTCACCTGGGGGATGACCCCGTAGAGGCCGTAGGTGGTGTACTCGGTGCCGAGCCAGACGGTGACGTTGCCCTGGGCGTAGCGCTGGAGGTGGGCGCGTGCCTGGCTGTAGTTGTGCAGCTCCACGCAGAGCGGCCCCGGGCAGGCAGCCCGCAGGGACTGCCGTGCCTCCGCCGTCAGCCGCCCCTCGTCCACGAACAGGCTGCGGGCAGGACGTGGGCTGGCCCCCGGAGCCCCCCCAGCCCTCCCCAACCCGGCCGCGGGGGCACGGCGGCGGAGGGGAAGGGGCTGGGGGGCTGGCGGTGGGAGCTGGGGGTGGTTTTATAGGGTGGGGGGGGGAAGAAGGGAAAAGAAGGGTCAGGGCAGGATGCGTCCCCACGGGGAGGTGCTGCCCACCTTATGTTGGTGCTGGTCAGGAGCGTGTAGGAGTAGAAGACGGGGTTGTAGGGGATGTCGTCTCCACGGAGGTTGAAGAGCCCTGCGGGGGGGGGAGGACGTCAGGACCTGCATCCACCGCTGGCCCTGGTTTACTGCTCCAGGTCCCAGCCCCGGCGGCGATCCCAGCCCCAATGAGGCCACTCACAGGCGGTCTCCTCCAGCCCCGAGAGCAGCAGGGCCGTGGGGCTCCGGGTGTGCTCCTCCATCTGCTGCCGGATCCCGGTCACCTTCTCCTGCCAGCTGCTCCCTGGGAGATGGGGTTGAGCCAGCACCCCCAAAAAATATAAAGGCCAGGGTGTGTTTGGGTGGGAGCTTTGTACCTGTGAACTCTGCCGGGAGGCTGTAGATCTCGCTGGAGGCCGGAGGGGGTCTCTGGTCGCCCCACACTTGGTCCACAAGGTTGGTCTCTATGGGCACCAAAGCCCTGCCCGAGCCCTGCAGAGCCTGGCTGTAGCTGTTCCAGGTGTCTGAAGGGGAGAAGCAGCCCATGGAGGGGGGGGCATGAAGTAGAGACCTCCCTCTCCACACCCAGGGGCCGCTGGTGCACCCCATCACGTAGGGTCCCCCCCCCGTGCCGGCCAACCCTACCGATGGAGAAGAGGAAGGGGTCCAGGCTGACGTTGCCCCCTGCGGGAACCCACTCCAGGATCCACTGCCCGATGGACTTGATCCACGCTGCAAGAGAGAGACGGCTGGTGGAGGATTGCAAGCGGGGACCCCCCCCAGCTCCCCCCAGCCCCCCCTGCCCTGACTTGTCCTCTGCAGCTCCCAGTTGCAGTCCAGTTGCCGCTCCGCCTGCGTCCAGTAGCGGCTGTCGGTCCACAGGGCCGCCCTGTCCAGTGTCACCACCACGGTGCCTGGGGTGGCAGCGAGGGCTCAGGCATCGCCTCTCCCCCCCCTGCCAGGCTCCCCCAGGTCCTGCAGGTGCCCCTGGGGACCCCCCCAGGGTGGGGAGCCCAGCGGCCTGGGGGTGGTCCCCGGGGTGGCGAGGATGCTCTCACCCGCGGAGCCGGTGAAGCCGGTGAGCCAGCCCAGACGGGAATCCCTCTCGGCGATGTACTCGCTCTGGAGAGGAGGATGGGGCCGTGAGAAATGGCCGGGGGGGGGCCATCCCGCACCCTGGGACATGGGGGGGGGCTGTCCCCTTACCATGTGGGCGTCCGTGGAGGGCACGATGTAGGCGTGGGCGCTGTGGGCGCGCATGGCGTCCCGCAGCGCGGCGAGCCGTGCCGTGGTGTTGGTGGCCGTGGGGGGCAGGTACTGGTGGTGGGGGCATTTTGGAGGTGGTGTTTTTTTTTTTTTTTTTTTGGAGTGGGAGCCCTGCATGGGGCTCCCTGGGGGGTGTGGGCGCTGTGGGGACTCACCGGTGGGTCCACAGAGCAGTTCCGAATGTCGGTCCAGGGGGAGGCGGCTTGCTGCGAGTGTCCTGGGGGGCAGGCTGGGGTGCAGGGGGAGCCCAGAGCATCAGGAGGGGCTCCAGCTCCTGCTCAGCCTCGGGCAGAGGCACACGGCCCCTGGCACTCCTTGGGGCCACGATGGGGTCTGGATCTGGTCCCTGTCCCCCCCCGGCCCCACCACGGGGACGTCTCCCACGTACCCTGCAGAAGGAGCAGCCAGGCTGCGATCCACCGGGAGGGCTGCATGGCTGCTGGGCAGCCCCCGAGCTGCTGGCAGAGGAAGGGACGTTTGGTTTTGCTTGGATCCGGGGTCCCTCCTCCTGCGCCTTTGCCCCAGGGGCGGGGGGATGCCGGATGACAACCCCCGAGCAAATATGGGGGGGGGGTCGTTGCCCTATTCACTGAGTGCTTCTCCCTTCCAGATAACCAGATAACAGCAAACAGCCAAAGCCGCACAAAGTCCAAAGATCCTCCTGGAAGCAGAGGTGGAGCTGTGCCAGCTCAGCCTGGCACGAACCAGCTGCCCGGGCTGCTAACCCGGCACCGAGAGCTCTGTGGGGTGCTGCTGCGTCCCCCGTGCCCCCCGGGGAACCCCTCGTCCAGAAATACCCCCCCAGGGACGAGGCTGTCCCGTGGAGCGGGGTTGTGGGCACGGCACCGTCCTCACCCGGCTCTGCGAAATGTCACCCCCGAGGTGGGGATGGGGTGAGGGCATCCGGGGTGCTGTGCAACGGCAAAGGGGCTGGGGGGGCTGAGCTGAGCTCCTGAACCTCTCTCCAGTGCGTGTGGAAGAGTTTTGGGGCAGCAGAAACACGTGCAGGGCCCCGAGTGGAAGCACAGCACGCCTTCAGCACGAGCGAGAGCGCTCTGGCTAACGGAGCGACGGGAAGAATAAATTCAGCTCCCGTTGGTGTGCCGGGCTTGAAAGGCTGGCGAAGGAGACAAAAGGAATATTTTAGCATCCTGACGAGACAGGAGGCACATTTGGCAGTGGCGTACAGGGGGAGGGAGCAGGCTGAGACACCAAACCATGCGCACGGCCTGGGGACCAGCGCCCGCACCCGAGGGCGGTGCCGGCTGGGCAGTGCCCTTCGTCCCTCTGAGCCCGTGTGCTCAGGACTCACCGTGGTCTCCACCTTGCAAAAAAAGCTGATGCGAGGCATAACGAGCCTGGAGCCCGGGGCCTGCCACGTTTATGGCACGCGTATTTCCTCTGGCTTGGTTTAATGACTGCTCCACCGCCGCTGGAGAGGAAGCCCGGCTGCAGCGGTGCCCGTCCAAGGGTGGTGGGTGCTGCTGGGGGGAGATGTGCGGTGCCAGCCCCCTCCAGCACCGTGGCAGCAGGACCTCGTGCAGCAGGATGCAAGCTGCTGGGCGGCTGGTAGGGCCTACAGTAAACAAACAGGTGCTTCACAAGCAAACCTCCCTGAGAAAACACCAGCTGGGCAGCGGGCTCCGTGCGATGGGCGGGGAGGGGGCTCTGCCGGCTCTGGCCCCAGTCCCGGGGCATCTCCCACGCGAGTTTTTGCCCCCCTTCCCCGGCTCCCCTCCCCGCCGTGCCATCCAGCAGGCAGGGATGCTGCGCCCCGGGCCGTGTCGCTGGGGTGCTGCCGGCCACGAGGTGGCACCACGACCCTGCTGCGGGCTGTCCCCTGTCCCCTGTCCCCTGTCCCATCCACTGTCCCCTGTCCTCTGTCTCCTGTCCCCTGCAGAGCCCGGGGGGAGCAGGGGGGAAGCAGCAGGAGCCGAGGGCATCGCCCCCGAGTCTGCAGCCACACCGAGCCCGGGCGCAGTCGGTGTCACAGGATGGGTCGGGGTCACCTCCCCGGGTCCCCCTTTGGGTTCTCCCTAGGCTGGGGCTGTGGAAGGGTACACGCAGGGGGGGGTCTGTGCCCCCATAGCTCCAAGCAGGGGCAAGACAGGCCAGGGTGGGGGGACAGCAGTAGACCCCGAAGCTGCCCGCGATTGTCACTGGGCACAAAAATGTTTCTGCAGGATGCGTCGGGCAGGTTGTCACCGCGACCACCGGGCAGCGCTTTGCTTCCACCCTGGTAATTAGCAAACCGTGCTAATCACCAAATCACAGAATCAGCCGGGTTTGGAGAAGAGCTCCAAGACCACCCAGCCCAACCTCTGACCCGACACTTCCAAGCCCTTCACTAACCCACATCGCCAAGCTCGACATCTGCGGCGCATCCAAGGCGCTCCCCGGGCAGCGTCAACCGGACGAGGCTCATCCAGCGCCGCGCGTCCGGTGGGGCCCGGCCCTCCCGCGGGAGCTTTCCTCGAAGACGGGGCCGGAGGAAGGCTTGGGGGAGACATCCTCCCTTTGTGGGCTATTGTTAGCCTTCCGCCACCTGCGGGGCCGCGGCGTGACTCAGGCCGGGGTGATGCGCCCGAGCAAACAGGACGCGCGCGGGGCGGGAGGGAGCCCGCTGCGGCCCCAGGAATGCGGAAGCGAGGGCGCTAAGTAGCTGATAGCCAGAGAAAAGCCCCCCCGTGATGGACAGGCTGGGAGATCCTGGCTGATGGACGCAATGGGGGGGACGTGGGGGTCGCTGCCGTGTCGGCAAAGCACCCCCAGGTCCTGCCCGTGTGGGTGTCTCGGCTTCCACCACGTGGGTGCCTGCAGGAGGTGTCACGTCGTGGCTGTGGGGACGTGGAGCTGTCACTTCCCTTTGTCCATCTGCGGATCCCCACTCGTGTCCTGGCCGTGCCTCAGTCGTTACCGTGTTGGTGGCCTTACAGGGGCAGTTTTGGGGTGCCTCGTGCGGGGGTCTTGCACCTCTGCTGCCCTGGTCTGCATGCAAGCATTGGGGTTGGAGGGGACCTCTCCATGTCACCTGGCATCCCCTGCTCAGGCAGGGGCACCCAGAGCAGGTTGCCCAGGACCACTTCCCACCTGCTTTTAAATCTCGCCAAGGGGGGAGGCCCCAGAGCCCCTCTGGTCACCCCCACAGTAACGCAGGCTCCCTGAAGGTCAGACATTAACACGCCGCGGTTCAGTTTTTGCCTCTTGCCTCTTGTCCTGTTGTCGTGGTCATCGTCTTCAGAAGAGCCTGGCTCTGTCCCCTTTGCGCTCTCCTTTCAGGCTCACAGAACAGGCCAGGTTGGCAGGGACCTCAAAGCCCACCCAGTTCCCACCTCCTGGCCATGGGCAGGGACCTCTCCAGGTTGCCCAAAGCCCCAACCACCTTGGCCTTGAGCATCTCCAGGGATGGGGCACCCCCAGCTCCTCTGGGCAGCCTGTGCCAGTGCCTCACTGCCCAGAGCTGAGCGCAGGGCTCCAGGAGGGGTCTCAGGGGGGCAGAGCAGAGGGGGACAACCCCGTCCCTCGCCCTGCTGGCCACGCTGCTGTCGGTGCCGCCCAGGACACGGGTGGCTTTCTGGGCTGCAAGCACACGCTGCCAGCTCACGTCAAGCTTCTCATCCACCAACACCCCCGGGTCCTTCTCCTCAGGGCTGCTCCCAATTGCTGGGCGCAGAGGCGAGACCGAACACCTTCCCTTTTTCCCCTCCTAAAAACGGGGTGAGGTTTCCCCTCTTCCACTCGAAAGGAGACTTCACCTGACCACCACGGCTTCCCAGACCCGACGGGGAGAGGCTCGGCAGCTACACCCACCGGCTCCCTGGGGACCCTCGGATGCGCCCCACCGGCTGCCCCCCGCCTTGTGCCCGCTCAGCCCGGTGCCTACCGCGGGGCTCATGCATCCCCGGAGCGGCACCGGGGGGGACGTGGCCAGGACGGCAACGGGGGGGTCCCGGAGGGCCGGGGGGGGGCTCAACCTCTGCGGGCGGAGGGGGCGGAGCGGGGCGGGCGGCGGAGCCCCCCCGGGGCGGGCGTGCGGCGGGGCCGGGCCGGGCTCTCGCCGCCTACAAATGCGGCGATCCCGGAGCGGGGCCGCCACCGCCGCCGCCCCCGCCGCCTCCGCCGCTTCCCCCCCCCAGCCAGCGGCTCCCCCCCGTGCCCGGCGGAGCATGGCGGAGCGGCGCTGGCTGCTGCTGCTGCTGCTGCTGCTGCTGCTCTGCCTCGCCCTGGCCGCCGCCGCCGCGGGTGAGTGCGGGGCCCGCTGCGGGGCGGAGAGGTCGGGGGGGGGCGCGGCGGCTGGCAGGGAAGCGGCGGCCCCCGGGCGAGGGGGGAGGACAAAGCGCTTTTCAGGGAGGTAACAAACCTCGCTCTGTCCGCCCCCGGGGCATGCGGGGCCGGGAGCCGGCCCGCCCAGGGCCCCCGCAAGCGGCCGTGCCACCGGGTGCCGGGGTCCCGTCGGGTGCGCAAAGGGCGCAGCGCCCCCGAGCCCCCGCTGCCGGCCGAGGGCTGAGGGCTGGGGAGGTGGGGAGGGGGCTGCGGGGGGCTTCGGGGAGCCGGGCGGCTTTGGGGTGGGCAGAGGGAGCCGAGTCGGGGCCGTGCCGTGCCGTGGCTGCGCTCCCTGCAGGTGGCCCGGCGTCTCCAAAGCCAGGAGGGCGCCGCAGCATCCCCATCCCTCGCGCAGGTGGTGGTGGATTTTTATTTTTTTTTTTTTTGGGGGGTAAGGGGACACGGCTAACGCTCTTCTTGCCATCCCAGGGACCGCTGCCGGATGGGACGGGGCCGCAGCGGGGCCGCATCCGAGTCCTGGTGCGGCCGCGGGGTGCGCGGCGCGGGGCTGGGCAGCGGGCGGGTGGGTGGCGAAGGCTCCGCCGCCCCCGGCCCCGGCTGTCCCACAAGGGCCCCATGCCCTTCTGACCCAGGTGAGTGGCTGTGGGGCACTTTGGGGGGGAACTTGGGGACACCACACGGTGCTGCTGGGCTGGGGCTCATCCCACCGCGCTTCTCTCTCGTTGTAGGGTCGCCAGCAGCCCTCCAGGGACGCCTGCCCCAGCTGCCAGCCCTGCTCCCTAGCCTGGTCTGCTCGGCCCTAAGCCCCCTGCTTGGGGGTCCCAGCCGTGAGCCCTGGGCTGGCGACACCTCCACCACCGTGGCTGTCCCCGGGTCGTGTCCCGTGGGTGGCACCGTGTCCCCTCGCCGCCTCCCGGGCTTTGCCCCGTGCCCGGCTCGCCGGGTCGGTGGGCTTTGCAAAAAGCACTTTGTAGGGCAGAGGAGCTCCCTCCCTGCCCCGTCCCTGTCGCCCACCTGCCCCGGCAGCGTGGCTGGGGAGGGTCTATTTATTCTCGTGGTGCTGACCCCGCCTGAGCTGCCCTCCCCTCCTTGGCCACCTCTGCAGGACCCCCTGGGGCGTGGGGTGCCCACCCGTGGGGTGCCCTCCCATGGGGGTCTCTGCGTGAAGCACTAACGGATGCCAAAGGGGGGCCGTAGTGGTGGTGCCGGGCCCTGGTGGTCACCGTGTCTCTCGTGTCTGTAAAGATTTGTTCTGTGTAAATACATCTTTATAATAAAGAGCTATGATGACAATAAACGCTTGTTTTCGGCGCGGTGGTGGCCGGGCCGGCTGGACCAGGGGCTGGGATGAGGTCTGCAGCCCTTGGGGCCGTGGAGAGATGCTTGGTGCCCTGCGAGGGGGACAACCTGTCCCGTCCTGGTCTCAGTCCCCATCCCTCAGGGTGCTGATGCTGTACCCGCTGCTGCAACGGCAGCCGGGGCTGGGGTTTGTGCATCTCACCAGCTGAAAGCAATGTCTCGTTGCCGTGGTTACTGGCGATCGGTGCCGGGTGGGTGCAGCGCCCGGGGTGGGGAGAGGGACCTCAGCCTGAGCCTGGCACTGGGGGGGGGGGCATGGGGCGATGGGACAGGATGGGACGGGCACTGCTGCAGCTGCTGGAGCTGCCCTGGTTCTCTGCGACCCCGTCCTGGGCACTTTTGGCTCTTCTGCTATCATGCCCTGGGGCTGCCGGACCTGCACCCCCCCAGCCTAACGCCACCAGCCCCGCTGGCCACAGGGGAGCAGCGGTGGGTGCCTCTGGCATCCCCTTCCCTGGCGTCCCTGTCCCTTGCATCCCTCTCTCTGGTGTCCCTATTCCTGGTGTCTCTATTCCTGGCGTCCCTGTCCCTGGCATCCCTGTCTCTGGTATCTCTATTCCTGGTGTCCCTGTCCCTGGTGTCTCTATTCCTGGCATCCTTGTCCCTGGAGCCCCTGTCCCTGGTGTCCCAATTCCTGCTGGCCCCCTCTCTGCTGTCCCCATCCCCACGGGCCCAGGCAGGCGAGCAGGCTGCAGGCACCTGGGCCCTGCCATCCCCATCCTTGGTGTCCCGGCTCCCTGCGTCCTCACCCCTGCTCTCTCTGTCCCTGTTTTCCCCCTCCCTGGTCCCTCACGTGCCCATGGAGAGGGGCAGCAGCTTAGGGCTGAGAGGGTCTTGCATACGGAGCAGTGGCTGAGCCCTGCAAAGGGCTAGGACCCCTCCTGTCTCCCCAAAATCCCCTGGAGCTGTGCAGGGCTCCCCAAACAGGAGCCTCCAGAAAGCGAGGGCTGGGGGCACCGTGTCGGGGGTCCCGCCGGCAGGCACGGGGGGGGCAGCGCTGGTGGGGAGGGGGTTAACGGGGCCGTGGAGGGGCGGAAAGGCTGCAGCTGCGGGGCTGGGAGCAGGGGCCCGGGGGGAAGCGGGGCTGGGCCCAGCTGGCCTCCATGAGCTCATCCTCGGGGAGCGGGAGGGATGCGCTCCCCGGCCACGCGCCAGCGCGCTCCCGCCACGCCGCACGCCTGCGCCCGCCCCGGGTGCCTCCTGTCTGGGCCCCGCTGGGTTTCTCCCCTCCCGTGGGGGCCGGGGGCTGCCAGGCCAGCGGGTGCCGTGATGAGGGGAGCGGCAGGATGCGCCACCCTGGCCGCAGCCCAACCGCCCCAACCCCGCTGGCCCCATTTCTGCCCTGGAAGGGGGAGGCCGGGGAGGTCCCCCCGGTTGGGCTGTGGCCAGCCGGTGCCGGAGGAAAAGGCTCCTGGGCCGGGAGAGCGAAGGAATCTCTGGCTTTTCCTGGCTTGGCCTGCTGCCTGCGGGCAGGTGGGGGCTGCCGGGCTCCTCCACCATCCCCGTGCGCCGCGTGCCACGCACCGTGCCCGCTCCCTTGCACGCCGCCAGCAAGCGCCGAAGCCGGAGGGGCCGTGAGGTCTCGGCAGCTGGGGGCAGAGGCGCAGAGGGTGCACAGCCTCCACCCCAGTGCCTGGCCTGGTGTAGCCAAGACGGGGAGCTTTGCCGGGTCCAAGCTGGCCCAGTTGGGAAGCAAACGGTGCTGGGTGTGCACCAGGAGAGGGATGAACCATCATTGGGGGCCTCCGTTTCTTGGGGACCTCTGGCTGCACCCCAAGGGATGGATGGTTGGGGCTCAGGATGTGCAGGGGACGGTGGCTGTGCCAAAACCACAGGTTGAGCCACGCCGCTCGCACACCACTGGGTGCCACCAGCCCCACCACGCAGACACTTCCAGCACCGGTGTGGCTGCCGGGCACGTTCAAGCCCCCATCCCCACGCGCTGCTCAGAGCTCCGAGGCCATCCAAGGAGGGAAATGAAGATGCACTCCTTGAGGATGCACGGGCTCAGCCCATCCCGCGGGAGCTGCGAGGCTTCGCGCCCTCTCCGGCATTTCCGCCGGCAGTGGCAGGAATGCAGCGGCCGAGGGAACAATGCCGGCACCTTGCAGCGGGGTCCCCTCCGTGACGAGGCCGGGAGCAGCTGCCCGGGCACGGCCCCGCGCTCAAGGAGCAGGCAGGAAGCAGATGGAGATGACACTGGTGGCCGTTTCCTGCGGCAGGATGCGGCCGGCTTTCTCCACCGCTGCTCCAGATGCCGAGCCAAAGGGGCTGCAGGGTCCCGGGACGCCAGGACCCCACTGCGCCCCTCTCCACAGCACGTAGAAGGCCCTACTGGGAACCGTGTGCCACCAAAGCACTCGTGCCCAGCTCTGCCCATCGCTCCCTTGGGGTTTTCTCCCCCCAGCCCAGCCCTGAGTCACCCTTGGGATGCTGCAGCCCCGCAGCCACGGCTACGTGAGGGCCGGCAGGCTCGGCCCGAGCCCTGAGCCCACGAAACCACCGCTTGCACAACTGAGGTTTTATTTGGAACAGATGGATTCCCAATAAATTATGTAATTTAAAAATTAAAAAAAAAAAAAAGAAAAAAAAAATAATAAGAGCCACGAGGTCCGGGGAGCCCCCGGCTGCTCAGCCAGGGCACGGGGAACACGGGGCAGCACACGGTGTGGCCAGGTACGTGGGGATAGGGCTGGGCACAGGCACCGTCCCCATACACCCTGGCTGAGTCCCGGCAGCTCCCCCCCCCGCAGCCAGGGCTCTGCTTAGTGTTTGAGCAGGGGCAGCCCCCCCCTTGAACCCCCATCTTCCTTCCTGAAGGTTTCCCCTCCCCGGCTGCACCCCCCCACCACCAACACGCTGCTCCTGTGGGACCTGGGGCTCGTTCCCCATTCCCTAGGATGGATGGAGGTGCCCTCAAACCTGATCCTGCAGCAGGGATGGGGGGGCAGGAGCCGTGTCCTGCTCCGTGCCGTGCCCAGGGGCTGCCCTGGATAAAACCTTCACCTCCCAGCCCTGCTTGATCCGGGCTCCCCTACATCAGCCACCAGTCCCCACAGCCCAGGGGGCAGCCGGGGCACAGGGGGAGAGGGCAGAGCGAGGTGCCGGTGCCAGAAACCCAGGGGCCGGAGCAGGGGATGCCAAAACCTCATCCCAGGAGGGTAACCCGGGCTGCTGCATGGCACAGGGCTCTCCCCAGTGCGGCCAGTACCCACAGGGATGCAGCACCAGCAGCCTCCACCCTTCCCTGCGCTACCTCCAGGGAGACGGGGGGTGAAAAGGGGAGAGAAGCACGGGACTGGGGAACCGGCGACATGGCTACGGGGCAAGGGGGCCGCTGGCCCCACGTTTGGCTAGCGGCAGATCCCCCCCTCAAGCTCCGGGGGAGAAAGCAGAAGGGTCCTGTGACGGATGGCAGTGCAAGGAGCACGCAGGTCCTCTGCGGCGCGGGGTACAGCAGTGGGAACGAGAGGAGAACGCTTCCCTTCCACCCATAAACACGGCCCTCAGAGGAGCTCGGAGCCTTCTGCCCTTTGGGGAGGCGCAGCCCGGGCACGAGGCCGGCAGCAGGGAGCCCCCCCCGGCTTTGGCAGGGGGGCAGGGGTCACTCCTCGTCCCCGGCGAGCAAGAAGCCGTAGAGGAAGTTGATGGCACGCTGGCGGTCCTGCTGGGTCTGCTTCGCCAGCAGGTTGGGTGGAGGCCGCAGGAGGAGGCTGGTGAACAAGGTGGCTGCGGGGGCAGAGCCGGTTACAGCCCCCGGGGAGGTGGCAGGGAGCGGGGGTGGCGTTTTGGGGAGGGGGCAGGGAGCTGCCTCGGCCTTACCGATCATGGTGGCGGTGACGTTGTTGTCGTCCGAGTATTTGAGCAGCTCTCGGAGGAACGACATTAGGTACCGAAAGACGCTGCGGTGGCAGCGGGGCAGCTGAGAAATCACCTGAAAAAAAAAAAAAAACAAAAAAAACACAAAAAAAACAGGGATGGGAGTGCTCCCAGTGCTGCTGCACGGCCACCAGGCACCAGTTACAGTCCCAGGAAAAGGACAAGCCAGCAGTTGTGGTGACAGCACCGCCAGGAGAACCCCCAGCACCAGGTAAAAAGTGGCACTGCCCCGGGGCTGCTCCCCCCTCGCCTTCCAGCTGGATCCAGCTGCACAGTAGCAGCACGAGGACCAGGACAAGAGGTTTCCCGAGGCCAGCCCTGAAAACATTCCTGGCTTCTTCCTCTGCCCAAGGACACGCTTGGCCTTGCTTGCTGCTCCGCCAGCTATTTTTAAGAGCCGCTCTGTTGCCGTCCTGGGGAGAACGCACAGGAACTGCGGCACCGAGCAGGTGCTCAAACCCTGGAGACCACTGAAGGCTCTCTCACCCCCTGGGGGCACCGTTCCCAAGGCGCTCAGGGTGACACCACCCACGCCTGGGGGCTCTTTGGAAGCCACCAGCTCCCCTGGGACGGCTGGAGGAGCCGCAGCGCCAGCCCTTGGGCAAGAGGAGAGCGCTGCTGGAGCACCCAAACCACCCTGCTCGCCACAAAGAGCCTCTCCCAAAGCTCTGTGGCAGCCCACGGGAAGGCAGCAAGCCCTGGGTCCAAAAGCCAGAGCTGACAGCAGCGGGGAAAACCCCCCCGAGCCTGCCACGAGCGGATGGAGGCAGAGGCAGCGCCGTACCTGGCGGCAGAGCCGGCTGTCGTGCGACCAGTCGAGGCAGCGCTGATACATCTCGTAGCAGATCACCGGCTCTGGCAGAGCCTCCAGGAAGATGAGGAGTGCTTCGGCCACCGAGTGGTTACTGCCCGCTGGGCCAGGGGGAGTCAAGGGGCATGCGGAGCAGACGGATCCCACCCCCCCAGCCTCTCCTCCTACCCCTGTTGGCTTTGCTGCTGCTTCAAACCCACAGGACCTGTGGGTTTCTGTGCCCAACTGCTTCCCGACACCACAGCCCCTCTCCTCTGCTCTCCCCCATCCACTTTTGCCCTCCCCCGAGCCCCACCGTCTGTTCTTGCCCTTGGCACAGCCTCGCAGAAGCTCCCCTAGGGCTGAGCTCCTCAGGGGGTGCCCAGCTCCCAGAGGGGGGGCACCTCTGCAGGGACAGAAAGGAGCCAGCCCCCAGGCAGGGGCCCTTCCAGAAGAGGCAGACAAGCGCTCCTCAGAGAGTGACCTCACAGCACAGCTGAGATTCAATGGGTTCCGGGGAACGCCAGGCGCAGCAAGGATACGGATTGTCTCGGGGATACTGGTGTCCAGGCAGTCGATGATCTGCTGCAGCTCATCTTGCATGCCCGGAGTCTGGAACAGGTCCTCCTGCCAAAGACAGCGGTGTCGGCGCAGGGCCAGGACCAGTCACACCTTCCTCACAGAAGCTGAGGCACACGGGGACAGCAGGGTGGGAGCTGGAAGCCCAGCCGGCGCCTCGAGCAGAGGGGAAAAGCCCTGCCCCGCAAACACCCCGCTGGAGCTGATCTCCAGGCGGAGACCCCATCCCTCACCTGGTGGCAAGCGTGCTTGAACAAGTGGTCCACCAAGAGCCAGATCTCCTTGGGCACCTGCAGCGGCATCTCGCCTGCGTCCTCGCTGTTGAGGATGCCGATCTGCAGTGCGGATTTCTCCTGGTGGCAAAGAGAAGAGCAGGTTTCAGGGAAAGCTCGGTCCCCCTGGACGGGTCTGGAGACGGGAAGCAGCGGCACCCAGGGTGCCCCTGGCTCTGCTTCTGCAGCACAGAGGTGGCAGCTCCCTGCCCCACAGAACCACGGCTCAGGGGAGCTCCCTCTAAAAAAAAAAAATAACAAAAAACCAGCTCCCAGGATGGGTCCCTGGCTGCCCAAGATGATCTGTCCGTGTTACAGCACAGCGGGGACCGGCACAAGCAGCACCGCAACCAAAGGACACCAGCAGAGAGGAGCACCACAAGCCTAACACAGTGGGCACGCAGCACAGGACAGCCTCGCCCCGCACACCACTGAGTTTTACCCTGCCAGCAGACACTGGGAGCTGGCTGCACATCCTCCTCGCTCATCCGAGCACCCAGGGCAGGCTGGAAAGCAGAGCATTAAGCAAGCGAGTTCCTCACCGCTTCCTTCCACGAGCTAAGGCGAGAGCTGGGGATGCTCTTGGGGAGCTAAAGACTCTTGGAAAAAAAAAATCCCTGCTCCAGGCTGTGTGGCGATGGAGCTGAAGCCCAGAGCAGCATTCGGCTGACTCGGAGAGCTGTGGACCCCCCCGCAGGAGCTTTCCCTGCTGGCTGGAGCAGAGGCAGCAGCACTGGGGCTGTCTTTGCGCATCGGGCGGGCACCGAGCGCCCTCTCCTGCCGCCTGCGAGGAAGGGAAGCGCCGCCGAGGAAGGAAGATGCTCTGCAGAAGGGTTGCTCCCAGGGGACAGCATCCAACTCCTCCCTTCCCCGCTGCTAGGAAGGAGCCTGGGGGCTTCATCTGGTTCAAACCCCTCTTGGAGAGAGGGCTCCTGCCCTGACAGCTTGGAGAGGGAGAAGCCGCCCGGCCCAGGGAGCCTGCGCAGTCAGCTTGCATCAGCTACCAAACGTTTGAGCTGGTGCAGGAGGAGCAGGAACAACGCTGCCGTGCACACAGCAGCGTCTCCACCTCCCCCCTGCCCTCAGAATTACAGATTTGTCTCGCTTGGGCCCCAGCACAGAGCACAAAGCAAAGCAGCAACCCCACTCTGGCACCGGTGGCTATCGGTGCTGGCAGCGCAAGCGCTGCTGCTTGAGGAAGCTGAGGAACAGCTGCCTCCTACACGAGGCTCTCCTGAGGGCTCTGTGAGGGCATCCCAGGATGGAAAGAGCAAAAGATTTCCCTTTTCTGACTCAGCACTTCCCTCCCATCTGAAAAGGCTGCTCTGGTGAACCTCACCTCACGTGCGCAGCTCGTCAATTCAGGTGTGTCACAGGTTGCCAGTCTTTTCTGGAAGTATTTATCACTACTGCCTGGATCAGGACAGTATTTTTTTTTTTTCCCCATAGCAAATTTGGCGAGCTTTAAGCATGGCTGGCCCCATCTTGACTACGGGGTCACTTTGTGCTCCTACATGCTCTCATCTATTCTGGGCCCACAGCTGCGCTAAGAGGCTTTGCTGGAACAGGCGCTCCCTCTGCACCCACCTCCCCTTCCCTCTTCAGCAGCAAGCAAGGGAAAAAAAAACTCTCATTCTTTACAAACAAGTCATCGAGATGCAGACTTCCCCAGCAATTGCTTGCATTACCTTTTCTAAGAAGCTGTCTTCTCCCTGAGAGCATTGGGAAAGAGAGAAGAGGAAAAAGCATCGTTACGAGAGAGAACGATCTCGGATTAAGCAGAAACCTACTTTGCATTATGAGACCCCACCAAGTGCCAGTTCCTTCATACATTTTGCTGACGTGGCTGAAGTTAAACCTGTGGCAGGAGATTTGCCTGCCGGCTAGCAAAAATCCTGCTCACATGATGCACAACCTCGTCAAGATTTCTGTGAACTCCTCAAAGCAGCCTTGCAGCAGCGCTGCTCACTACTGAGCAAACAGCTGGGCCACAGGCAGATGAGAGAGGTGTGACAGGAAGAAGTTCCCCTTCTTGAATCCTCCTGGCCAGAAAAAAATGTTCCTGCATTGTTTCTGCCATCTTCCCCTGTGACCAGGGAGATAAAACACTCACCAAGCTAAATCTGTAGCGCTGAGTGCGTGGCAGCTGTGGAGCTAGCAGGCCCCCTAAGCAGCTTTGTGTAGGGTCAGGGAAACGAGTGTTTGTGCTCAAAACCCGGGGCTGCTTGTCTGTCTCAACCTAATAGCATTAACGCTGCGGTGAGGAGCACGCCAAGGCCCCCTCCAGGCTGTGTCCAACCCCTCAGACGATGCTGAGACGCAGCCTCCACTCGCCAGGCTGGCAACGTAAGACGCCAGTTGGTGGAGACCACAGGAGGAACCAGAAGCAGGAGCAATGTGCTCCTAAGAAAGATCTTTCAAGATGCTTTTTGAAGCAGGAGGACCTCAAGAAAAAAAAATAGGATAAGATGCTAATGCTGAAATCACAAAGGCAGGATGCTCAAGTGCTAGCAGCTTCTCCTGGGAGAACTCAGCCATTTCCAAACAAGCTCCCACCTACACGTCGCTGTCCTGCACCAGCTCTGCCCCTCAGACACTGACCTGCGTTCTCCAAGTCTCCCTCTGCTGAAGGCAAGACATCTTGCCGGGCCAAGAAAAATGCTTGATGACAAACTCTAAGCAAGTGCAGGAGAAACGGAGTCACCATTCTCCCTTGTAGAAAGTGCTCGGTTTTTCCTGTCTCCAGGAATTTCTCAACTCACAGGTATGATCAAAGACAACAGACCTAAAATAGCTCTAATGTTACAGTAGTTTTGTAATCGTAAGTGACTAAATTTTCCTTTGGGCTGTTACACTCGTATTCCTTGAGCTTGCTTCACATGCTGCAGTTGAAGTGCTGCAGTCAAAGTGACCTCACTCACAGAAGAGACTCTTTCTGCTGGGGCAGAGTGCCTTCATGTCTTGCTCTTCTCTGATTGTTTTGCTTCCTGTGCTTCTCTTCACTGAGTAACAGAAGGAAACCGAGAGGTAAAGGAAGCAGAAGAGGCCCCAGAGTACAGTTACTCAGAAAAGCAATGGTGCATATCCAGGAGGGCAGGAGCTGAGAGTCTAGGCCCAAGTTCCTATCCATCAAGCAAAAAGTCAGTGCTGAGCACTGGGAAGCAGGAAGAAAAGTCACCAAGACTACTGAAATGCTCCAGACCAAGTTTGACGCATTCCAAAAAAAAGAAGAGTGATTATCAACCAAATCCAAAAAGCATGGGGAGCTTGAGGCCTGCGTTGGTTGCTTGAATTGAGGAGGCAAACACTGTGTTTTGCCATCTGGATTCTGCTTAACCTCATCTTGGGATTACAAAAATCAGAAATCTAGCACAGAAAAAGCACAAAGGCCTTTCTGCATGTTGGGCCGGTGAGAAAAGTGGCGTTCTTCTCTCCCCAGATCTAAGATTTGGGAAGAGAGGAAAGGCTGTCAGAGACTGCAAGAACTGCGCTCATCCACCAGGTCAACAGAAATCGGGCTGCACCCTCAGCAACTCTGCAGCTGGCACCAAGCTGAGGGGTGCAGTTGATAACACCAGAAGGAAGGGATGGCATCCAAAGGGACCTGGACAAGCTGGAGAATTGGGCCCACGGGAACCTGAAGAGGTTCAACAAGGCCAAATGCAAGGCGCTGCACTTGGGGCAATCCCAGACAGGAGCACAGCCTGGGAGAGGAACTCCTTGAGAGCAGCCCTGCAGGGAAGGACTTGGGGGTTCTGGTGGATGGAAAGCTTGACAGGAGCCAGCAGGGTGTGCCTGCAGCTCAAAAGGCTGCATCCTGGGCTCCATCATCAGAGGGGTGGGCAGCAGGTGGAGGGGGGATTGTGCCCCTCTGCTCTGCCCTCGTGAGGCCCCACCTGGAGCCTTGTGTCCAGGTCTGGGCCCCCAGAAGAAGAAGGGTGTGGGGCCATTCCATCATGCTATGAAATGAAAGGCCCTTCCCGGCTAAACAAGAATAAATAAGCAGACTAAAACTCAGCAACTGCTAAACCATTCTGAAGCAAGGCCAGGGAAGGCCATCAGAGAAGAGTGAAAGCAGGCTGAAGCAAGAATCAATGCCCCTCAAAACTGGGGCTTCACTTCCAAAACAGCCACGAGATACCAAAAGGACAAAAGATGGCACGGTCACACAAGGTTTCAGAAGGATGAATGCTGATGCTAGGGGCTCGTGATGCTTGTAGAGATGAATCTCTGCACTGCAGAAGAGTTTGCTCACTGTGGCGTGACAGGAACTGGCCAGAGAGGCTGCGAGGCTGGCCATTTGCAGGGCTGTAGTTCATCAGGACACTTAACAGCACCAAATCCCTTTCTTCGGTCCTGCTTCTGTCTCTTCCTTCCCTTGAGCAATGTGAACACCACAGCTGTCCAGGAGGAGAAGGATCCTGGAGTGTTTGACGTGGCTGAAGAAGCCTAGGCATCTCAGAGGAGATCATTTCAGGCATTTTGCAGCAATGCAAAGAAAGATGCTGGAATCATTGTTCGGTCTCACCACCAAGTGATATTTAGGACTTGGTCAAGGAAATCACAAAGTACAAGCTACCAAAAGCTATCGGTGGTGGAAGGGAAAACCACCAAAGCCCACCTTAAGCTCTGGAAGAAGTAAATCAGCTTAGAGCCAGCACAGCTGATCCGTATGGAAGGCATTACTCCAGCTTTGAGGAGTAAGCAGAAGGAACATGCTCTCTCCCTAGAGGAAGTGCAGGGCAAATCTGGCATGCCCATTCACAGCAGCTTGGGCTCCAGAAATGCTGCTACTTACCAGGTCAATGAGTTTGGTGACTGGAACTTCTCGGATGGGTTGTCTCATCCGGCACAAAGCCTCTAGGGAGGTGCCAAAGCAGCTGGGCAGGTAGCTCCCACTGATGGTGAGGAAATAGTCCTTCCCCCGGTCCAAGTGAAGGACAAGAATATCCTCAATTTTATCCTCGCCCGAGTTCAGAAGGGTTACGGAGTCCTTACTGACGTACACATCCAGGGAGATGTCCACGCTCTCATCTGCAACAGGCAGGAGCTGTCATCAACACACAGACACTCTCCTCAAGGGGTAACACAGACGTATATGGCCAACCTCTTCAGTGGTTTGTGGGGACAGGACAAGGGGCAATGGCTGCAAAGTGGAGCCCAGGAAGTTCTGCACCAACATGGGACAGAACTTCTTCACGGTGAGGGTGACGGAGCACTGGGACAGGCTGCCCAGGGAGGTTGTGGAGTCTCCTTCTCTGGAGATATTCAAGGCCCATCTGGATGCCTACCTGGGCAGCCTGCTCTAGGGAACTGCTTTTGCAGGGGGGTTGGACCCTAATGATCTCAGGAGGTCCCTCCCAACCCCTACAGTTCCGTGATTCTGTACTACAGGGCCAAAGGCCACAAAACAGGCAGGCAAGGATGATGGCAGAAAGGGGGAAAGCCAGGAAAGAGGGGAGGGACTGATGAGAAGTGGCAGCCTATACCAATACGCTGGAGAAACAGTGGCAAAACTCACTTGGCTCCAAGTAACCTTCACAAGGCTCAGCCCGAAGCCATGGCTTGCAGTACTGCCTGTCGTTGAGCTTTGGGATGAAGGAGAAGTGACAGGTGACCTGCCCGTTGTTGGTTATCTGGAACTTCTGCTTCTGCAGCTGACGGAACTTTACATTCTCAAAGTCAAACTGCAGAGAGGAGAAAAACAGAAATCATGTTAGCGGGCAGGACAGCACACACAAGATAGCCACACAGACCCCACAGTGGTAACCCACAACCAGAAAGTGCCTGCATAATATAGAACTACTAGCAGAAGACCTCTCAAGAAGCCAAGGTAAGATATCCCTTTTAACCCAATTCCTGATCATAACATAACAGATAAAAGTTCAAACTTTCTACAGTTAAGTCCCAACACTTCTAAAACTGCTGTGCTGGGGAAGCAGACAGTGATCCCGATTTCATCCTCACTTCTCTCCTGCTTAGCTCCAGCGAAGGAAGGAAGTCGTTCTCCATTCTGTCCATCATACGAACGATATCTTCAAACACCTTTCGATACCTCTGGTCATCCACAACCTTTACCTGCGGAAGATCAGAAAACACTCAGCAAAGTTTCTGACCAGCCTTACAAAAACTCCTGTAGATCACGAGTAAACTTCAGGTTTCTCTGAGTAGTTGCTATGTGTACCTGAGGCTCAGGGAATTTGCACACGTGGGTGCACCTCTAAGCTGCATAGAAAACTTAATGAAGGTTTTACCCCAAGAGATGTGTTACTGGGGTGTTTCTGGTCAAGGGGTCTCACTGCTGGGAGATTACTGGGGGTGATCTCTGCGGGACAGCACTGGCATCTTGCAGCATTCTCCAGGAGAACAAGAGAAAAGCTCTCCTTTAAGGAACCTGAGCAGCCCAGAAAGCCAGGAAACCCAAATCTGTTGCCAGCCAGTCACCAGCAAACAAACCCAGATGTAAACCAGTGACACGCTCTCCTAACACAACACTGCAACAGCAGCCACAAGTGATTACAGTTTTCTGCTGTCTCCTTGGGGAGGACAGAAAACAGTAGCTCACTCATTCTAGTGCTACGTATCATGGGGTACACGTAGCTGAGAAGCTAAGCAGCAGGGATTGCCTTCCTATTTACTGCATCACCACATCTGCTAGGGTAAAAGACAGCAAGCACCTGCCTTGCTTGGGCGTAACACTGCCCCAGCACTACGGCCAGGCTGCACTGCACACGAAGACTGCAACTTCTGAGTTGTTCGATGAGCAGAGGCTGGCACAGCTGCCAAATTGCAGCACACCTACCAAGTGGACACACCTTACATTTTATTTACTCTGCCCTCTTGCAACGGCATTCACAGACGTGCCTTGACTACACAATCACCTCCCAGAGGAATGCGTGACAAAATTGTGGTCTTGCCCTTGCATATTAAAAAAAAAAAAAAAGTTACCCCGATGTGGAAGAGCGCGCTGACTGGCTTGTGGTCACTGGTCTTCAGGTCCATGTGGCTGCGATAGCAGAGCTGATTTATGTTCCCGCCCCTCCAAAGGATTCGGTCACACCATGCTGGCACACGACACTTTCCACTGCAAGGAAACACAAGTTACCACAGGAATCCAACAGTTCTAATGCGTATCTAAGCCCTTGCTCTTTCTGGCCATGCAGCTCCCTCCACCCCTATCATCAATGAGCACATCAGCAGTGGTGGAGCGAACTCCCACACTCCCCAAAACTGCAATATGATGCAATTTATGCTGCTCTCTTCCCTTTCCCCACTGCAGAAAGTCTACTCAATTATGTTACAAAATCTGAATCCTGGGTTATCCTTCTCCAGATTAAGCACCGTGCTCGTTCACAAACATGGGCAGAATAAAATCTAATTGCTTTATGGCTTGGGACTGCTTCTTGGGAGTTTGTCCATTCAGAGCAAGCTTCTGCAGCAGAAGCATAAACGTCTGTGGGAGGCACCACGCAGAGAGTGGCAAGCAGGAAAAACTGCTGCTGTCCCAAGGTAGCCACCCCTGCGGGTGTGCAAGTCAGGGGTGAGGCTGACTCACAGAGCACGTCCCTTTCTCTCTTCAACTCCTTTTATACCGTTTTTCTCTGGAAGCAGTAAAAAACCCCTCCAGTGCAGGGTCACCGGTGAGTTCACTCTACCCACATTCATGTACTGGGATCATCAACCACTGAGGTTTATGCCATGTGCCTCCTCAACATGTACAGGATCTGCTTATTCCAGGAAGTAGGGAAACAAAGGAGTACAAGTTTGTCTGTGTACTCCAGCTACCACCCTAACACTGAGAGGTATTTCTACCTTTAGGACTCAGGAAATCACGTTTTACAAGAGAAAATTTTATGTTATAGGTCAATGTGTACATTGGCAGCAGATTTACCTGGAATCCCAGCGATCTGTTTTAGAATCGTATTTGTACGTGGGGATGAATTTAATCTCTCCCTCAATGAAATCTGCAAATGCTTTCTTATGAATACGCTGAATATTCAGCTGGAAGCAGAAAAAGAGCATTTTAAAAACGAACAAAGCAACGAAAAACCAAACCACCCCAACTGACCCCCCCTCCCCAGCAGTGTCAGAGAGCAGATCTACGGGCTGAGCAATTGCAACTTGTCACCACGGGATTCACCACAGACATCGCACAAGCCACCTCTCAGATCTTACACCTCTAACAAAGATGAAAATTCAACGCATCAGCAGGAGCGTTTTCCAAACAGACCGAATACAAACTGGCACAGCGCTGCTTGCCATACCACACAGACAGCGTTTAACAAATTAAGGGAAATACTAATTGTTCCTCTTGTGCTAAATGCCTTCATTAGTTCTCAGGCTCAAGCAACACCATCATTAATATTTCACTGTCAATTGTTTAGAAAAAGCCTCCGGAAGCGTGCTCAGATGACAACCTGACACTGCCTTCCTTTTCTCTTCCACTCTGCTGCAAATTTTCCTCTTTTTTTTCCTCCACAAAAATCTAAGCTGCAGTTGTTTTCTGCCTGAAGCTCTGTAGTACAGCAGACACGAGCTACAGAACAGAATCAATCAGATTTACTGTTAATTTGTGTGTCAGAAATGCTATTACACTATTTTTGCTCATGTTTCACGGGTAGAATCCGTCATCTTAAAGACAGATCTGGTGCTACCTTAGTTCCCAGTGTGTTGCAAAAAAAAAAAACACCACTGAGTGGTGAAGGCTACAGCACAGAATTTAGGTCAAACTGCCTGAGCAGACAAGTACTGGTCTCCAAATCAATACCTTTTCCAGGACACTGATTACAACAGCTGCTGTTGCAGTTACAGATTTCTATGTTCCAGCTTGTATTGAAGGGAGAAATCTTCCAACAAGACGCAAAGACACTTCTGTAGTAACTGCCTGAGTCATCCCGTTAACCCCAGTATTGTGTAGAAGCTATTTTGGTCCAGGGAGCTGATGTCACCAAGACACTCAAGTGCTCTGTCTAGGTTGTAGCATCTACGTCTGTAGGTGCTTATCACAGAGCGCCTGCCAGATCCTCCCAAGCACAGGCACATCTCAGGCCACAACGGCCTCCCAAGTACGGAGCAAACATAGGCGGGGTTCACTGACCTGGTCATACGTCAACAATTTCTGAAGCTCATTCTTACTGATAAGACTTTTCACCTCACTGGCATCAGGGATACAAAGCCTGTAGTTCAAGTCTCCTAGCCAGATGACAACACTGAAAACAAAGACAAAGACGGAGAAGAAGAGCCAGAAGTTAGTATCGTAAGCTACATGTGGAAGGAGGGGTGGGCAGGAGAACAGACGTTTGGGCGCTGGTGATTAAGGCTGAGACACACGGAAGACAACAGGAGACACGAAGGACCGAGTCTGACAGCAGAAATTTCCACTGGCTTCTCCTTTGGGATCCCACACGGGACTGAAGGCTTTAATGGGAAGTGCTCGTGTTTGCCTCTGTCTGAAAAAAGCCTCGAGAACATCACCAGCTCCGTAAGGAAACAACTTGCACGTCTCACGAAGGCTTCAAAACCTCCCAAGCTGCATAAAATCCACCTGGTTCTCAGGCTCTTCTTGTCTATAGAAGAGGGCAAGGACAGAACTCGTTCCTGCTTGCTGATCAGTTAGGCAGGCTCGTGTGCATGTGTCTGCACGCTCGGACCTCGTGCCATACCGTGGTTTTACCAGTTTCTTGCTGCCTTTCTTTCAACCAGATCAGCACGCTGCTTTATCAGCTACCCAGCAAACACTGCCTGGTGCAGGATTTGCAAAAGCAAAGATAGGCCAAAAGCTCAAAGGCAGCCTATCTTATCCATCAAGCCATATCTCATCAACAACTGCTCTTAATTCTGCTCCTCATCGGGCTTTCAAACAGATCGACAGCCTTCCCACTACCAGCAGCTAAAGGAACACCGGTAGTATTCTCTCTTTAATAAATAAAGGTTTCCTTCAAGGATTAAAGTCTAAATGCTTCTAGTATCAAAGCTCTTCCTGTTTATAACCAAACCTCAACATGTCCATTAGTGGATTATCAAGGATAATCTAACGTTTGAAGTTTTTTCTTTATTTATCCACTCTGCATTTTGAGTTTTTAATGGTTTAATTATTAACTGTAGAAGTATTAATTATTTGTATTAGGTTTAGGAAAACTTAATTTATACGCTTTGTTGTATGCATGCTTGGGATTGATTTGGATTATTCAGCAGCACTGTCACCCCATAAAAAAATAATATAATTGAATCAAGTGTTGCCTACATGCCATCTGATGCACTTAAACAGCAATTGTAAACACTTGTTACTCAACAAAGCCTTTACTTTTACTTTTTAAAGCACAAACAATGCCCATTCTGCTATCCCTTTTCCTCCCATATTTATATTTTATTTCCCATCACACAAAAAAACCAAACAAACAAAAAAAACACTCGGCTTCCTCAAGCCCTGTGATGCTCAGCCACTGACTCGGGAATGCTGCTTGCTTGAAACAAGAAAATTATGCACAACACGTGAGAAAAGTGCTGTTACAGACAGTTTGCCCGAGTCACTCCAGTAAAAAGGTGACCAGCTAGCTCGACTGCAGGAGCTCTAGCACACAAGACACCTTGGCATTTTTAGTTATATTGTTAATTAAGCCAGCAGACTTATCTGTGGAAAATCCCTTGTTGCTGTGATTTTAACTCCATTTTTATTATTCAACGCCACTTCAGGAAAGGTGGACAGTAAAAGAAACTTACTCATGTTTCATGATGTTGAGCTGAGGTAGCGTATCATCAGGGGTTACAAAGCACATCCGAGCACAGATATCCTTATAATCCTGATTTCGGCGCTCGAAGTCCTCCACGTGAGCAGCCAAGTGGGAATTGACAACGCAGAAGGTCGTGTTGTGGAACACGAATCTCACCGCCACGCCGCCCTTGTTGCCCTGGGGAGAGCAGGTACCAGCAGGCATTAGAGGAGAGGCACCAGGGAGAAGATGGGGATGGCAGAGAGAAGAGAACAAAACCAGCCCGTGCCAGTTCTCGCATGGAGAGACTGCAGCTAGAAACTGGCCTCGGTGACTCACCATCTTCCCCATGATTCCAGTGCCCACAGACTCTGTCATGATCTCTCTGATGTTACTCAGCTGATCCTTCCTCGCAAACACGAGCAGCATCATTCCAACCAGACGGACCATCTGCACCTGGAGAAATGAAAGAAACCCTGAGATCCCAGCAGGGCACTGCCTGCTCTGCCTCATGGCTTCCTCCTCAGTCTCTCATCGTGTTTCGTACTCAACCCCTGCTTGCAACAGCACCCAAAGGGCCTCCTTTTCTCTAACACAAACAGGCTCTTTCTGCAGTTAGAGGTTCTTCTCTGCTGCAGGGCTCACCCCCAGGCCCCAACACGGTGCTTTGTGCGCTGGCCCAGCAGGCCTGCAGCTCTGCTGCTGGTTCTCTGACACACGTGCTGAGGCCTGATCGCCCCGAGCACTGCTTACACGCTCACTTGAGAGGCATAAACACACGAAGATGTGCTGGGGTGAAGCCTGTGCAGCGAAGGAGGAAGATGAAACCAGAGCATTAAACGGGAAGAGGCCGAGCACTCGGCGCAGTCTGCAGGAATGACATTTACATGCAACCACAAGTCTTATCTATGGTTTCAGTCACTTCCCCCTGCCTGCGGCCATATCCTCCTCTCTCCCTTTTGCAAGGGTGGAAGAAGTTTGCCTAAAAACTCACGTAAAACAAAGGCAGGGGAACATCAGCCTCTCTGCAGTTCATGCCATGACCCCCGGCTCCCTCACCGTGAATTTCAGCTCCGCGAGGTGCTGGTTTCCTGCTTTTGGTCACTGTAATGCAGCTCAACGCAAACCAAGCAGGCCAGGGGCGTGACAATGAGTGCACTGGCCATCGAGGAAAGGGGAAAATGTATTTAGGCTGGTACCTACAGCAAAAAGGTTTGCTACAGCAGAGGTGAAAAACAATGGCCTGCTCCAAAGCAACCAGCATAAAGACCAGGAGCCACAATTGAAGCAACTGTGCCCCAAGGCAGCAGCCTCTGGAATATTTCTTCTCGTAAATTTTTCCATTCCTTCAGGGAGAAGCTATTCATTTAACTGAGCAGCTCAAGACACACCTCGTTTCTAAATTACAACAGTAAGAATAATGCAAACAAAGAATTTGAACCCACCGCTACGCTTTTATTGAGCATAGCACTTCCCTGTTACCTGCCTCTTATTTTATAGTTATTTTTACCTGTCTTTGTGTATGTGATACAGACTTGCAGACACATGCCAAATATGCATCCCTGATTTCTCCAGTCTCTGCTCTTTGGGTCAGGAGAGGAAAGGGAAGGACCATTTCTGTTTCCTTTCCAGCCATTCCAACCCTTTGAGAAGCCCCCACACACTGAACAGAACTCACTTTCTTATACTTAGCCTGAGGGTGCAGGGACTTCTCCACAGCAACCAGCCACTCTTGCTCCTTTGAAGAATCAAAGTAGAAAAAAGCCTCCGTGCTGAGGTCCAGCTCCTGGAACCTAAAACCAAGTCAACTTAGCACATTCCACCTCTCCTACAGATTGCCCTCTTTCTCAGGAAGGTCCCATATGAAACATCCAGGAATCTCTCTTCTGGGTAGAAAAGCTCCTTGTTCTTTCTTGCTAAAGCAGCAGCAGAATTTCACTGCCTTGGAGACCCTACTGCAATACACCCCAGAAACCCTCTCTCTTTGGAGAACTATTACTTTAAACTGAGGACACAATGGGAGCACTCTGGGTACCTCAAGCAAAATCTGTTTTGCTATGTCACAGCCTAACTTGAAATGCTGCCTCAAACAAATCGCTCTTTCCCTCTAGACAGCTCTTTTGAGACACAGCTCAGCTTTTTTGGAAACCCTGAGAACGTGTCAGGAACTTCAGATAAATACAGCACACCAGCATCCAAGCAAAAGCAACAAGAAATCCAGCACCGTAAGGAACCAGAAGGTTATCACTTCTCACCCGATGCAATACAAGTCTGGAGGCTCCGTGTCGCATGCCAGCCAGGGCTCCAAGCTGCTGTCTGGGGACTGCCCGTTCACGTTCCACGTTCCCACAAAGAACCTGCAACACAAAAGCAGCTGAACTGTCAGAAAATCCAGTAACTGATGCAAAAGTCGGGTCCCTCCAGTGCACACAGCAACATTCAGACAGGGAGCAGACAACACATGGGCTCTCTCACATTATATTTTCAATTATCCTATAGCTTAGGATATTAGGATAACTGAAGTATTTTCTGTCATCCTATAGCTGACTTAACCTGTACAGGGTAAAGTTAGCTATACAATAACTGAAAATGTTTCTAGGCTTGGCTCATCTTTACTGATACCAGTTCTACAGAAAGCTACAAAACTAAAGACGTTTCACCGGGGCCAGCAAACATCTGTCTCTCTTCAAATCATGCTGTATGGGGTGATGCCAAGACAGTGCGGTGGGACAGATCCCTCCTTTGTCTTTCTGCTCAACTGCTTCAGTCTTACTTGGAGGTCCAGAGATCTGACACACATAAGGGAAATGATGCCAAGCTGTATTGCAAACGTTTGTTTTCTTCTCAACCTGCACCAACCCTCATTTCGCCACCCAAGCTGTCAGATCTCAAACCCGGGCTGGATTTGAGCTCACAGAAGAGATTATAAAGGTTTGTCTCTATCTATGTATGTAGCTTAGTCTCTAACCTGAAGTTCTCGAGGTGGACGTACTCCTTCTCTCTCCTGGCAAGCACATGTTTGATGAGGCCTTCTCTCTGTCCTGTCTGGGTGTTGGGCATAAATATTTTGCGCATAGTGTTGGTTACTTTTGGCTGCTCCCTCGCTGCGCTTTCTCTCTCTCGGTGAAATCTTGGAAGGAAGCAAGAGCAAAATTAAAACTGGTTCTGCTGTCTAGGGAAAAAAAAAAAAGAAACAAAAAAGGGGAAGATATTCACCATGGTACTTACTGCCTACTTGGAGGCACAGGAGGAGGTGGGGGTTCCCGGCGAGATCCTGTTTGGTGGTTTTGCATGTTTCTTTTCTTCTCTAGGCTCATAGCATTGAAGTCATCCTCAAACCCCAGAGCTCCTACAGAGACAAAGCCAAGCACAATCCCGTGAAAAACAATTTAATACAGCCCAGAACAAAAAGGAAAGAATTTAACTACACGGAATGTGAAAGAGCAAATGATAACAACAATATGCCAAGCTCTGATGACACAGGGAAAAAGGTGCACAGGTGACACAGAAACAGGGTACTAACCACAGAACAAGGCAGAACGGAGCTTAACGCATGCAAACCAAGGCACTAGGCAGAAGACGGCACTGGAGAAGAAACAAATGGTCCAGGGCAACACGATCCAAGGACCAGGAAGTTTCATTTTGCACAGGATAAGTTGAGGCCAGGAAATAGGGTGGAAGGCAGACGGCTGAGTGCAGGGTCAGCACAGCTCCCTGCCACTGAGAGCCCAATCCTGTACATACCCCAGAGCATGCAAAGGCGACAGTCACTTTAATACCTGAAGGAGAGGCCTGCGAAAGGCTTGGGAGGTTCTTCTCCACCTGATGCCAGCTGGCTGAGTCCTTATGGTCGGGAAGAGAAGATTTTAACTGAGCTGGAAAAAGAATTGGCCCCATCAGAAACTGCTGGTGGTGTAAGGATTTCACCGGTACAGCCATAGCTCTGCTTACCCTCCTGTATGCTCTGCACCTCTGCGAGGAATCCCAAGCAGCGCTCCTCCTCAGGGAATTCAAAGAGTCGCTCAGCTGCCTTGTCCCCTTGTATCCGGATCTTGCAGCCTGCTTCAGGCACAAACACAGACTCACAGAGTCACAGCCACGTCTGCTGCACGGACGTGATGCCCTCAGAGCAACCAGGCTAACTATACACACACTGAGCTCTTCGGTGGCAGGCAAGGTCCAGCTACTGTGTCTGATAGGAACTGGCACCTAAATTAGTTTCCCCGTGCTTCAGAGATTACCCTGTGTGGGCTATCACCAGTCTTGTTTTCTTGTTTTTAGGAACACTTCCCCCCACTGCTACCCCACAGAGAAGAGCTCTAGAAGTAGAGAGAAAAATGTATTGAAATGGAAAGCAGAACAAGTGACGAGAGAGCGCGCTGTCACACGCACACTGGTAAATGCAGCTGGTAGCTGAGCCTCAAGAACAGGTCAGAGAAACAGAAGGGGAATGAGAACGGTTCTGAAAGCAGGAAAGTTGTAAGAAGTTCAAGTTTAACCAATTGCCAGTCCTTCAATCTGGACAGTTAAGATCGTGACATCCAGATGCCTATAAAAGCCAGACAACCCTAGAGGAAACACATCCCCTGCCTGCTCAAAAGGCAAACACCAAGCATGGAGAAGTGTGAAACAGCAAGTAAAAGACACGCTGCATTGGTGTCCAGCAGGCAGCCTGCTTCCTGAAAGGAGATTTAGCCACACGATGGTCTGTAGTTATAAAACTTACTGTTTGTAGCTATGTCAATCAGCAGGGTTTCTTCTGCCTCTGCAAGAGAGGAGAAACAGCATCAGGAGAGCTCATCCTTACCGCTGCAGTGACTGAGCACGCAGAAGAGCCACAAGCGTCCTAACAAATGGCTTTCATTTACATCTCTCATGTTAATAATGGCTCCTGAAGACAGAACGGTCACATCGGGGTGGCCTGGACAGTGATTTTCCCCCATCAAGGTGTTGGGGGGGACTGGTAATGATCAGAGTCCTCACACCTCGGGGTGTTTTGTCCCACTGGGGTGCAGCTCCCTTGTGAAAGGGCAGCCTAACAGTGAACCTCAGAGCTCACACAGCCGAAAGGAGGGGCAGAACCCGCTGCAGGGCCGCTATGAAGGATTCAGCAGCGGGTTCCTGCCGTGGGGGGGGTCAGTACCTTGCACGCACTTAAAGCGGCTGTTGATGGGGATGTAATCCGGCTCCGCGCCCTCCCTGTCCTGCCACTGGATAAGGATCCTGGGGACACAGAGAGGCAGTGAGGATGCAGAAGGGGCTCCCTGCTGGGGGGGGGGGTGAGCACCGGGATGGGGACAGGGAATGGGACAGGGGAGGGGAACACGGGGAGGGGATGGAGGCAAGGGAAAGGGAAGGGGACAAGGGAAGAGGATGGGGACAGGGGAAGGGAATAGGGGACATGGGAAGGGGACAGGGCTCGGCCCCGCGGGAGCAGCCCCAGCCCCAGCCCCAGCCCAGCCCCAGCCCAGCCCCGCCGCCCCCCGGGCCCGGGCCCTGTCCCCCCGCTCTCACCCGTAGCGGCCTCCCCGCTGCGCCAGGCTGAGCACGCACGGCTCCCGCCGCCCCCCCCGCACCTCCGCCCCGGGCAGGCCCCGCACGGCCCCCGGTGCCCCCCGCCGCCCCCTCCCGGCCAGGCCCCGGCCCGCGGCGGGCGGCTCCATGGCGGCGGCGCCCCCCGTCTCCCGGCGACCCCGCGGCGGAGCCCGCCCCCCGCTCGCTACCCGCCCACCCGCCGCACTGCCCTCTGCCGGCGGGAGGAGCGAGAAGGAGGTGCGGAGGTGGGCGGGGCTACGGGAAGCCACGCCCCCAAGCGGGGAGATGATTGGGCGAGGCGGGTGCTCATTTGCATACAGCGCGGGGTAGGACGGGAAGTGGCGCGGTTTGAAGCGCGCGCGGTGGCGGCGGCGGCGCTGGAGCCATGGAGGGGCCGGGGCGGGACCGGGACCCGAACCGGGATCGGGACCGGGACCGGGATCAGGATCAGGACCGGGAGCAGAACCGGGAGCGGGATCTGGAACAGAACCAGGATCGGGACCGGGATCAGGATCGGGAGTACCGGCGGTGAGCGGGGTGCTGGGGGTGGTGGGGCTGGGACCCCCGGTGCCGGTTTGGGTCCCGGTGCCGGTGCTGACGCCGTTCCCGTCCCCGCAGGCTGGTGAGCGGTGCCAAGGAGGCAGCGGGCAGCGGGGACCTGGAGGCAGCGCTGCGGCTGTTCCAGCGGGCGGCTGCCATCCGCCCCAGCGAGAAGCTCCGCGGCCGCATGCAGAGGCTGGAGGAGGCGCTGGCGCAGCTGGCGGAGCAGGAGGAGGATGAGGAGGGTGAGGATGAGGAGGAAGGCCGCTTCGTGGATGTGTGCGGCAGCGGGCTGATGCTCTACGGCGAGCTGCACGCGAAGCTCTTCCAGCACCAGCGCGAGGGAGTCGCCTTCTTGTACAGCCTGCACCGGGACGGGCGGCCCGGCGGCATCCTGGCCGATGACTATGGGGCTGGGGAAGACCATCCAGATCATCGCCTTCCTCTCGGGGATGTTCGATGGCGAGCTCATCCAGCACGTCCTGCTCATCATGCCCACCACCCTGGTCAGCAGCTGGCTGGCCGAGTTCGCCCGCTGGACCCCCGGCCTGCGCGTCAAGGAGTTCCACGGCAGCAGCAAGGCAGAGCGCACCAGGAACCTGGAGAGGGTCCGGAGGAGGAACGGCATTGTCGTCACGAGCTACCAGATGCTCATCAACAACTGGAAGCAGCTCGCCAGCTGCCAGGAGCAGGATTTTGTCTGGGACTACATCATCCTCGACGAAGCGCATAAAATCAAGTGCCCGTCTAACAAAACGACCAAGTGCGTGTACGCGATTCCCGCGAGGCATCGCATCCTCCTCACGGGCACGCCGGTGCAGAACAACCTGCAGGAGATGTGGTCCTTGTTTGACTTTGCCTGCCAGGGTTCTCTCTTGGGAACAGCCAAAACGTTTAGAATGGAGTATGAGAACCCGATTACTAGGGCCAGGGAGAAGGATGCGACTCTAGGGGAGAAAGCACTGGGACTTAAGATATCTGAGAATCTAATGACAATTATAAAGCCGTATTTCCTCAGAAGAACTAAAGAAGACATCAAAAAAAGTCATGCTGACAAACCAGATGCCCCTCTTCCTGAGGATCCAAGCGAGGCTCGTGCTCCTGTCATGCCATCTCTCACCAGGAAAAATGACTTTGTTGTGTGGGTGTACTTGTCCCCAACGCAGGAGAAAATCTACAGGAACTTTCTCTGTCTAGATCACGTGAAAGAAGTGCTGATGACAACCCGGTCACCTTTGGCTGAGCTGACTGTCTTGAAGAAGCTGTGTGACCACCCCAGGCTTCTGTCCGCGAGAGCGTGTATCCAGCTGGGCTTAGATGGCCAGGAGTGCTCAGAGGAGGATCCCAGCAGCGAAGCAGGCGTGCTCTCGGGTGCCAACAAAATAGATCACCTGTCTGTTGAGACCCTGATTCAGGAGTCTGGGAAAATGCTGTTCCTGGTAGGGCTTCTAGAAAGACTGCGAGAGGAGGGGCACCGAACTCTGGTGTTCTCGCAGTCGAGGAAGATGCTGGATATCATCGAGCAGGTTTTGTCTCGCAGGCAGTTTAAGATCATGCGTATCGATGGCACGGTGACCCACCTGACGGAACGGGAGAAGCGCATTAGCGCCTTCCAGAGCAACAAGGACTACTCCGTCTTCCTGCTGACCACACAAGTCGGTGGTGTTGGCATAACCTTAACAGCAGCCAACCGAGTGGTGATCTTTGATCCCAGCTGGAATCCAGCTACAGATGCTCAGGCTGTAGACAGGGCTTACAGGATTGGGCAAAAGGAGAACGTCGTGATCTACAGACTGATCACCTGCGGTACAGTGGAAGAGAAAATATATAGGCGACAAGTATTTAAGGATTCGTTAATAAGACAGACTACTGGTGACAAAAAGAACCCATTTAGGTATTTCTCCAAACAGGAACTAAGGGAGCTCTTCACATTAGAAGACACCCGCACATCCACAACTCAGATCCAGCTGCAGTCTCTGCATGCCACCCAAAGAAAGACTGACCTGCAGCTGGATGAGCACATCGCTTATTTACACTCTCTGGAAATGTTTGGCATTTCTGATCATGACTTAATATTTACGAGAGAAATGACTCACGAGGAGCAGGCTGAGAGTGAAGAAGCCCATCAGTACATTCAAAAGAGGGTCCAGAAAGCCCACGAGCTAGTTCAGTTAGAGTCTCAGCTCAGAGATATGAGGATGGAGGGGATCAGAAATGCTGTGGAGGAGACTTGGTCGAGACCACCAGAATTGGCTTCCCAGGCAAAGAAGAGGTCTCCGGGGCTGAACAACATAAATAACATGGTTTCACCACCAGTAGCTGATAAAAGTGAAAATGACAAAGTCATTGATCTTACAGAGGATGTGGAGGTCCAGATCCTTGATGTCAGCTCTAAAATGACAAGTCTGACTGTTGATGAGTTGGGTGAAGAGAAACTGGCACAAGTGATGCCCAGTATGGATACAGAGCTGCTTTCCAGCAGCAAGATAGAGGAACAGCCCGATACACAAGGGTCTGGGCAAAATATGGACTCGAGCATTATATCATTATCACCTGGACTTCGCCCACTCGATAAAGAGAGCCCGAGCCTCAAACAGAAGCAGCGTTCTCCTGTTCCCCATGTAAATTCGGATAGCTTGGCTGAGGCTGGGAATGGCCTTTCTGGGCATTCTCTGCATTTTGCTGATGAGTCTGGTGTGGCTGACCATCCCAGAAAGTTAAAAGATGCAGAAATGTCAGTTCAAGTACTTGACCTGCTTGCTGTCTCAGAGACAGAGGGGAATGACATTCCTGAGCCAGCTTTAGCTGCCACGCCACCAAACCTACCGAATGTTACGCCAGAAGCCCATGCTGGGTTCCAGAAGTCCCGTGTGGTGGAAGCCAGCTTGGAGGAAATGTCTGTGCCATCTCTCCAGGATCAAGTCGACTTCAATCTGGTCTTGGAAGAGTCTGAAGATGGATGGCAAGATGTCTCAAATGGGGAAAGGTCACTGGAGCACCCAGCGGATGAGGGCTTCCAACTAAAAATGGGAAGTCTTTGTAAATCTCCAGCAAAAACTGTGGAAAGTGAGAATGGTAACTCTGGAAGCCCCTGCCAGGCAGCTGAAGAAGATCCAAATAACTCCTTGCAAGGGGGTGAAGCATCAGAGGAAAACAGTGTTATCCTCGTTTCGGGTAGAAGAAAGAAGAGTGTGAAAAGAATTGTTTCAGACAGTGAGGATGAGGACTCTTCTGTTATGATCTCAGAGGAAGAGCAGTCTGATAAAAAGTCCTCTCCCTTGAACGTCCCTCTGCATCAATTTCTGGAAGGGATTACTGCATCTACTCCTAAAAGCAACAGGAGTCTATCAAAAAACATTTTTTCTCCCAAATTAACTAACAGCGGTAACAGGTCTACAGCTTCCAGGAGATCCCTGATCAACAAGGTGGTAGATGAGGTGGAGGATATCGGAGAAATCATGGGAACCACTGATGAAGAAGAAAACAGCGATGAGGAGCAAGAAGACCTTGTGGAAGACGAAGCAGAAGAGTGTAGTGCAGAGTCTGTTGAGCCTGAGGAAGAACCTGCTGGAGAAACGCTTAATTCAACTGAAGAGTCCTTCCACGTAGAGGGCATGCAGTCCGAAGCAGATGAGACAGAGTCATCTCAGGAGGAAGTCCACTGGTGATGCTGAGCTCCAGTCAGGTGAGCAGATAGAGTACTGCACCCAGGGAAGGGCCTCTGAGGAAGAGGACGGTCAGAATTCCTCCCCTTCCTTAGCTAGTTACAGTACCCTGGTAGACAGAGGGAAGAAACTGAGGGAGGATGGAAACCTGCAAGAGGCACTGAACTGCTTCCAACAAGCTCTTGACATAAAGAGTGAAGATCCTGAAGTTATGCTTATGACTCTGAACTTGTATAAACAGCTAGCCCAGAAATGAAATCTGTGTACCTTTGTTAAATATTTTCATGTGATCTCTATGCCTCTGTTAAATCTGTCACTCTGTTTGTCTGGGCTACATCGCTGATTGTTTCAGCCATCTAAAGTTTAAAAATAAATACATACTTCTTTCAGGTTATGTAACTTTCTGTCGTAGCTAGCGAGCAAATCCAGCATCTCTTCCTGTGTGAAGAAGCAGCCTAAGAAGCCCTTAGTCACATTTCAGGTGCTGGGGAAGGGACGTCACTGTGGACTCGGTTAACTAGGATGAAAACAGTTCATGTTCTTGTTATTTAATTAATAATAAAAAAATCTGTCTAAATGCCTCTCCAAGCTTGCAGCTCTGGTTTCCTGTTTCTGATGTTCAGAGGAGGCTGAAGGTGAGGTTCCACAGCAGCTTTAATGCAGCCTAAATCCAAGCTGCTGGAGTTCCTCCTTCCTCGACTGAAATAAAGCCCGTGTGCCTGCCTGAACCTTGCCTGCCATTTGGGTGCGCCAGATGCTGGTGCAAAGAGAACACAGCTCCTGCAATCTGTTTTTAAATTTGCTGTGGTGGAGGTGGTGGTGGTGGTGGGGAAGCTGATTGCTGCTATAAATCCTCCATGCAACAGAGGCCAGCGCACCATCTGCCTGGTGCCAGCTCCAACGCTGCCATGGAGCACTGCAGAAACCCTCTTGCTCAAATCCCTGCCAGGCTGTGGTTGCTGCAGAAGGGTTGTAGAGCTGGGGGGGGGTCGCAGAAGGACTGAAATAGCAATTAGGGCCTTGCCTACTGCAAGGTGCTGAACATTTGGGACCTTTTAGTATTTCTGGGGGAGTCTACAGCTTCAAAGCAGGCTGTGGGTCTAACCTTGTAGCCCCTCTCTCATCTTTCCCTATTAGTATGGTCAGAAGCCCACCCACACACAAAGGCAGCAGGGGGGGAACATCCCTGTCTTGAAGTTGTGGGCTGCCTATTCTCTGGTCCTCTAACACTCTTCCCACCTCTGGTTTAGCTGTAATAAATATTTTCTTGCAGGTACTATAGGCACAATGAAATCAAAGTGGGTTCCTAGTTTTGGACTATGCAATTTTAAAATCAGAAGAACCTCGCTCTGGCTTTTAGCAATGCTTTGCTCGTCTGACTTGCCCCTCTGCCACAGTGATGGGATAAACTCGGCCTGGGTATGCTTGCAACTATCACATCATCTTACCTTGTAACCACACGGCAGGGAATTTCAGTGCTTCATCTCTGTTAAATGCCTAGCAGGTTTGCCTTGCATGTCACAGCGTGATAGCAAGGGACACTTTCACACCTGGTTGAGTTCTGCAGTATTTGGAGAAGAAACTGGTATGCTGTATTTGAATTCTTTGTACTAGATAACAAACCAAATACGAACAGTTGTCCTGGTAGAACAGGAGATATGCCATGTGCTTTTGCTAATAGGTAGAACAAAGCCCTGGTAGCCTGGAAACGAGCAGTTTATTAATAGAGCATCCCTTAAATGAGGCCGCATCTGCTCTCATGCTGTAGAAAGGCCTGTCTGCCTCTCATAACAAAATATTAATGAGGTAGAGCTTTGCGAGTGTTGGTCGGCCTGTGCAAGCCTCCCATCCTCTTAGCAAAACAAACACCTCAAGAAGTGGGGCAGGCAAAAGACCTGCCCTGGTTTCAATTTTGCATCGTCATCGCGTGTGATCCTGGGAAAGGCGTTTTTGTGCTATTTGATTTTTTTTGTCCCCATCCTAAGCCCTCTGACACGCTGGGATGCTCACCTGCAGCAAAGACAGCACCAGTCTGAGTTCTGCCTTTCAGCAGGCAGAGGATCAGCACGCTGGGATATTTATTAAGAAGGTCAGGGAGGTAGGAGACATGCTGAGCTGCTTCATTCACATCCGTCATGCTGTCATTTAGCCGGTTTTACCAGAAGGACAAGGTGCAGTCTGCGAGGCTCCATACACGTACCGCACACTGAGCAGTAGAGGAATTGATGGAGTGACAAGCATTCAGTGTTTTTTCTGCTTCTCTCCCCTTATTCGAGTTACAGTTTCTTCCCTGAGCTTTGATCAGATAAAGTGTGGATGACTTTTTATGCAGGGGGATGACTCCTGCACCTTCCCCCTCCCTGCTACTGCTCAGTCAAGCCTCCAGCCTTCGTAAAGGTCTGGGAACTGAAGGAACGAGGAGCCTGCGCAGGGCAGTGGCTGTGAGCCCTAGCTGTAGCATTATTCTGCCTCTACCAAAGGGAGGCTCTTCCCAGGTTAAGTCTGAGCTCTGGAGCAGAACCTGTAGCACGTGAACTGTCCTCATTCTCCCTGGTGGGGGTAAGGGTAAACGCCCGAAGGAACCCGTTTTCAGGTTGGTTAGATTTGCAGAGAAACGCCTGAGCTTCCAGTTGGACAGATCATGTCATTTCCACGTGCAAGTGCAGCCCAGAAAGCCAACCGTGCCCTGGGCTGCACCAAAAGCAGCATGGCCAGCAGGGCGAGGGAGAGGATTGCCCCCCTCTGCTCTGCTCTAATGAGAGCCCTGTGTTCAGCTCTGGGGCCCCAGCACAAGGAGGACGTGGACATATTAGAAGAGTCCAGAGGAGGGCCACAAAGATGATTACGGGGCTGGAGCATCTCTCCTACAAAGACAGGCTGAGGGAGTTGGGGGTGTTGAGCCTGGAGAAGAGAAGGCTCTGGGGGAGCCTTTTAACAATCTTCCAGTACCGAAAGGGGGCTACAGGAAAGCTGAGGAGGGACTCTTTATCAAGTAGTAATAAGACAAGGAGTAATAGCTTTAAAATAAAAGAGGGCAGATTTAGATCAGATATAAGGAAAAAAAAGTCTTTATTATAAGGGTGGCAGGACACTGGAACAGGTTGCCCAGAGAAGCTGTGGATGCCCCATCCCTGGGAGTGTTTAAGGCCAGCTTGGATGGGGTTTTGAGCAACCTCATTTAGCGGGAGGTGTCCCTGCTCATGGCAGGGGGGTTGGAATTAGTTGATCTTTAAGATCCCTTCCAACCATTCTAGAGTCTCACCTGCCAGCTGAAGCTGATTTAAAATGCTAATTTGACCTTTTCCAAGGAAAGCTTTACCTCTCTGTGCAGGGTCTTGTGCTCCGTGTGTCCTGCCACAGCGGCAGGGACGGGCTGGCTGTCTCCAAGCACCCTGCTGTCAGCTCTAGGTGCCTGGGACACGCTCGGAATTCAAGCAGTCAGGAACTCAATGGCCATTCACACTTTATTTTCGGCCTTCCACCATGATAATGTGGTACCCGAACTTGGTTTTGACGGGAGGGTCCGTGTACACCGGCTTGTCCATGCTGCTCACGGGCAAGGCGAACGCAGCCTCCTGGAAGGGTCCCACCATGGAGCCTCTGCTCATCCAGCCCAAGTCTCCCTGCGAGAAGAAACCAACGGGGTTAAGGACGGGCTCTGCACCGCTTTTGGGGCCGGGCAGCCCAATTTTTGGGGCCGCTCGGGGGGCATCCTTACCCCTTGCCTGGCCTTATCCTCGCTGTACTGCGCGGCCACCTCGCTGAAGCGCACCCCGGCCTTCAGCTTCTCCATGGCCTCCATGGCCTTGCCGTGCTTCTCGCAGAGGATGTGCCGCACCTGGAGGGGGATACGGCGGGGCAGCGGGGCCGGTGGATGCCCACCGGGAGCTCCGTGGCCCCGGTGCCCCCGGTACCCACCTTAACGGAGCTGCCGCCGCCCTTCGGGCCCTGCGCCTTGCCCTCGCCGCTCTCGCCGCCTGCCAACGCAGCGCCCTGAGACCGAGCCGGGCCTCCGGGCCTCGGGGCTCCGCTACCGGCCCCGAGCCCACGGCCCCCCTCGTTCCCCGGTCCCCCTGCCCCGGCCCCGCTCACCCTTGCCGGCCTTGCCGCCTCCCTTCCCCTTCGGAGCCATGGCCGCCGCCCGGCCCGCCCCGCGCCGCCGCCGTGAGGCCGCGGCCAGCCCCCGGGACCGCCTTTTTTTTTTTTTTTTCCTCTCTATCTTCCCTTTCCGTCTTTTTATCCATTCTCTCTCTCTTCCTCTCTCTCTCTCTCTCTCTTTTTTTTTTTTTTTCCTGAGTTTTTCAGCCTGGCTCCTCCCTTACAGCCTCAATTCTGCAAGCCCGCGAGAGGGGAGGGTGCAACGTGCAAGCGATGGGAGAGGGGAAAAAAATAATAATAAAAAAATAAAACCACAAAAACAACAAGCACAAGGAGAGCAGAGCCTCTTCCCAAGGAAAATCCAGCACAGGGCCTTGCACAGAGCACCCCAGCCCTGCTGAAGCCGTGCCCTCAGCCCCCTTTCTCCACAGGGCTGCCTGCCCCCAGCCCCGTCTTCTTATAAATACCCAAAGAAATGAAAGTGCAAACTTCCCAAACACCGCGTTTCTGCAGCAGGCACTGCCTGGCCTTTTCTCACTCCGAGGAAGAAGAAGGGCTGGCGTTTCTGCTTAGCCCTCTGCCTTCTGCCCCCAGCCCTCGGGTGTCACTGCCCCGCTGCCTCAGCGCGGCCTGGTGTGGATCCATGGGGGGGATCTGGGGATCTGCTTGTGCCATGGGGATCTGCTTGTGGCACAGGGATCTGCTTGTGGCACAGGGATGGTGGCACCATCAGCAGCATGGGGACAGTGCTGGGATAGAGCCCCTGCTGTGTGGGTAACCCCTGGGCATGGGCAGGTTGGTGGGAACCCCTGAATAATCCACGGGTGAGGATCGGGGCACGTCCCCCTGGGTTTCTGCCCCTGGCTGTGTTTGGCCAGCAGCCGTAGGACCCCCAGCAATGGTGTTGGCTTTTGCAGGGTGCTTCAGTCCTATGCCAGAGGCAGGAAGGGAGATTTCTTGCCCTGCTGCAGCCCCTTCCTTCTCGCAGCACCAGGACCAAGCCCTCCCCGTGCCTCCAGCCACCTGAAGTCCAGGAGATGCTTGTCCTGGGAGGCTGGTGGGGACCCGTGTGTGGAGCATGGCTCCTCGGGGAAGCAGTGGAGTGACCCTGGGGCCTGTGTTTCCAGCAAGGGCCGGAGAGCTTTCAGAAATGCAGCACTGTCGGGGGCTTTCGAGGGGGTGGGTTTTGGCCTGAGGTCATTGCACGGGCTGCAGACACCGGGGCGCCCGCTCCCCATGCAGCGGGGAGGATGCTTTGGCTGACGAGAGGGAACGGTTTGTGGCTCTTCCAAAGCAACCTCATTTCCAAACAGCCTCCTCACATCTTCCCAAAGTAAATCTGCGTGTTTCCAGCTGAACTCATACCCGGGACCTTTGCCTGGGAAACTCAAGGTACACCGTCAAATAAAAAGAGAAAAAAACATCATCGCCATTGTGCATTAGAAAAAGCCATTTAAAGTACCACATGCCGAGTGACCAAACAGTTTCAAGCTAGCTTTGCTGCGGGTGCTGGAGGGTGCCTGGGGCTGCTGTCCCACTCTGTTCCTGAGGAGCAGCAGGAGCTGCCAGCCCAGTGCCACAGGAGGTGCCGGGTCCCGGGGCCAGCTCAGCAGGGGACAGTCCCCGCTGCGGTGCCACATCCCTGCCTCTTCTTCCCTCCTGCGAGCAGCCCGTCTCCGCCGGGGACATGGGGGCCTCAGGTCCCAACACTGCCTCTCTGACGGTGGCTCTCCCATCGGAGAGGAACCAGAGAGGATTTGCCGAGGAAGAAGTGAGAGCACGAGAGAAGCCCCAGCGGGACAGCCGGGACACCCCTGCTGCAAAGACCTGAGTGCCTAAAGCTACCGCTCGCAGCAAGGCTCCCTCCGCAGCCATCTCGAGCCCTTTGTGGCCAAGAAGGGTCTGTGCAAGGTTAGGGCTGGCTTTTGGGGCTGTTTGCACCATCCAGCTCAGGGGCAAACTCTGTCATGACCCTCCGAGCCAGCGGGTTTGTGGTCTTAAGCAGTTCAGCTGCAGATGGCCGGGTACCAGCACTGGTTTTACTGCTCTTCTTCTGGAGCAGGGCCTTAAAATCTTCATTCCTGCTGGAGGACTTCCCGGTGCCGACCACTGCTGCAGGGGACTCACTTGTTGGTGAGCCCGACGTCTTCACGGGTGAGTGGGAATTGGGCCGGCTGCCAAAGGTGTCACCAGGCTCCTTCCGCCCCAGAACCTTTCTCTTGGACCTAAGCGACAAAGAGCATCGTGGTGGGAGCAGCCCCAGGCAGGAGCTGCCACCGCTTTGGGATGTGGCGAGTTCCAAGGGCTTGCTCCTGAGCTTGAGCACCAGCCCCGGCACACAAAATTTCAGGCACCAGCGATAGGGACAGAACCACGTTGGCTCTGGAGGGGCCACTTGCCCAACCCTGCATACCAGCCCTACCTGTGGATGACGGTGAAGAGATCCTCTGTGGTCCGGGCTGCCACAAAGACATCATCGTCCTCCTCCGCGATGGAGTCAGCCGTCTTGTCGCTGGCAAAGCTCTTCTCCTCTGTGCCGGCCTCAGACAAGCTGCCTGTTTGCAGGGAGGAGAAGACAGCCATGAAATGCATGGGCTGATGGAGAGGGGCCCCCTCAGCCCCCTCTCCCTGGGGTGTAACACGGAGGACCAGGGAGACCCTCACCTTGCTCCAAAGGGGTCTCGCCAGCTTGTGCTGTGCCCGGGGCCTCCGTGGGCGTTGGGTCATCGGTGTCAGGGTGGCAGCAGCTGGGCTCGGTGTCCAGCGTGATGATGGGGCTGGGGGTGGGTGCCGGGTCCCCCGCACCTCCTCCCTGCTGCACCGGGGCTGGGGCGAGCGGCAGGTAGAGCACGCTGGGTTTTTTGGGCACTGGTGGTGGCACCTTGGCCTTCCTCCGCTCCCCCTCTGGCCGCGGCTCATCCTCCAGGCTGCCCTGTGAGAGCCGCCGGGGCTCCCCCGGGCCCCTCCTCGGCTCCCCTTTGCGCAGCACTGCCAAGCCGTCCTTGGTAGCAATGCCGGGTGGGGACGTAGGGGAGAGGGGGCCCTCTTCCCGCAGGGCCGGGGGCTTGGGCAGGATGCTGAGGGGGGGCCGCTTGGCCAGTGGTGGCTTCTCCGCCACCGGTGGCTTCACCTTCCTCTCTGGACCCTGGGCAGGGGACACGTGGTGGATCCTCGGCGTGCTCCGGGCCGTCGGCATTGTCCTCTGGCTCGGAGCGGCTGATGGAGCGCAGGCGGACGGAGCGCAGGTCGGACTGGGTGACCACGGGCATGATGGGCTGGATGGGGCTGGTCTTCTGGGCCAGCTTGGTGCCGAAGGTGGAGTCGGAGTGGTGCCGGCTGACCTTCGTCTTCCCCTTCAGGGAGATCTTCAGCCCCGACAGGTCGAGGTGGGCGGGTGGTGTGAGAGGGAGGTCGAAGGACAGCCTGGATTTGGGGCTCCTCTCCATGGGGGATGTGGGTGGCAGTGAAGACTTCCTCTCAGGGACCAGCGGCCTCACCCGCACCTGGTGTGGGGAGTGCCCGAGGATGGCCGACGTGGGGACAGTCGGGGTGGGGGTCTCCGACTGGCTGGAGTACCCGCTGGACGGGGACATCAGCCCCGTGGGCCTGCCCGGGGAGGAGGTTTTGAGGTCAGCCTCCGCCGAGAGCTGGGAGGGTGTCGTGGCTCTGGAGATGGAGGGGGACGTCAGGGACTCGGAGCTGCCCCGTGCCTTGATGCACTCGACGGCCGTGGTCCCCGTGGCCGTGCTTGAGCCGGAGAGGGACCGGTAGGCATCACCGGTCTTCCAGTCTGCCAGGTACCACTGGTGGGGGGCGGCTGGGCCGTCGGGCTCCCTGCCCTGGGGGTCCGCATGCACCAGCCGGTGGCTGGAGGGCTCCAGCGGGATGCACAGGCTTTTGGGTCTCTGATCCCTGGGCAGCCCCAGGGCAGCGGGGCCATCCTGCCCGTCCTTGATCAGCGAGACGCTGCGGGTGGGCGGCGAGGGTTTCTTCTTGGCCTTCTTGAGGGAGATGCTCTTGGAGCGCCGCCGCTGCTGCCCGTCGGGCTCCGGCCCCAGAGAGATGTTGTCGGTGCTGGTGCTGCCCTCGGAGCCGGCGCTGGGGTAGCCCAGGGCGCAGTTGGTGCTGCCCCGCCGGGCCTCGGCGTAGGCGATGTCCACGGAGCAGAGGGACCCCGAGTCGGTGGGCACCGACAGCGAGCGCTCGCGGAAGCGGCACCCTGCCCGCTCCACCCCGAGGCGTGCCGGCTCCGACGCCGGCTCCGGCTCCTCTTTGCTAGTCGGTGAGAAATTCACCCTGGCCTCTCGTCCTTCACACCTCCGCAGGCCCCCAGAGCCCGGGGGGGACTCGGGCACTGCAGCAGGGAAGGAGCCAGGCCCGGCGCTCCCCACACGCTCCTCTTGGGCGATGAAGAAGGAGGCTGCCCGGTCGGTGCCGGCGGGTGAACCCACGGCGGAGCTGCCCGGGGAGGCACCCTGACCAGCCGTGGGGCTGGGGGGAGCGGCGTAGCTGAAGGAGCCGGCGCCCCAGGGTGAGGGAAAAGGGGTGCCCTGAGGCCCGTTGCAGGTGCCGGGGGTGGCCGCGTTGTCCATGGGGGTGGAGGGTGGGCAGCAGCGTGCCTGCAGCGTCCCCCCGAGGTCGCTGAAGGTCTTCCTCAGCGGGGCGGAGAGCGGCTGGTGGGGGCTTATCTCCTGGGGGGGCTTCCCCCCGCTTGCGGGCTCGAAGCTGCAGGACAAGGACTCGGTGATGGGCGGGCGCGTGGTGGGCGCGGGGCCGTTGGCGTTGCCTGCGGGGACAGACACGGGGTGAGCGGGGGGCTGGCACCACCCCGGGCATTGCCCTCCTGACCCCTGTCACAGGGAAACTTCCTTCCCCTTCCTCCTACTCCGTGAGAATTTCCCTTGGTGGCACGGTTTCTCCTCCTGTCCCTACACAGCTCTGAGCAGAACCTGGCTCTCAATTCTCTGCACCTTCCCTGGCACGACAAGGTCCCCGAGCCAGGGTCAAACACCGTCCTGTGGCTATGCTGGGGGTGCCAGCACCCTCACCACCCCGCTGTGGGTCTGGTGAGGACAGGCTGGGGCTGCGGAGCTCAGCCACCCCTAAGAGAAATCTCGGTAGCTTTTGCTCCCCATAACCGTGCTGCACCCCGATTTAGGGCCTGGGGGGTGTCCCCTATCATCACCCAGCTTCAGCGCCAGGCCAGTGCCACCAGCACGCCCAGGACCTCAGCTCCTCAGAGGGTGCAGAACCCTTGTGGTGGCCTTTCCATCCCCACGGCCGGGGTGTCCCAGCCCCACGGTGGTGCCTCTGCCCATCCTCAGGTGCCAGCCGGGCCCGGGCACTCGTGGGGCAGGAAAAATGGGCTGCGCGGTTCTTGCTGTCACCTTGGTCTCGCAGGGACATGTTAGGGAATCCGATAACGGTCCGTCTACGCCGCAGGGTGGACTTGGGGTTCATCGCGGTCTCTGTGTTAAACAGGGAGTGACGAGCACTCGCGTGCCTAGCAAAGTGCTGCCCTGTAGCCAAAACAAACACGCTGCGGACACAGCCCCGTGCCATCGCCGTGGCCGCGGGTGTCCCCTGGCTCGCTGGTGGGTGGCGGGGGGGGTGTGAAGGAGCACGGTGAGCCCCACGGTGGGGATGGAGGAGCAGCGGGGATGGTGGTGGCGGCTGGTGGGAACACGGAGATGCTGCGATGGGGATGGGATGCATGGGGAGGCTGCTGGGACACATTTCAGACACGGGCTTCGATGGGATGTGTGCAAGGGCCGGGCAGCTCCGCGCTGCTGGGCGCTGCAGCCCCCCCCGGGGACAGACAGATGGACGGATGGACAGACGGAGCGTGGCGCGAGCCAAGGTGACAACAGAACCGGCTGGTGGGGCAGCGTGGCAGCGACGAGAGACCGGATGGCAGCGTGGCTGGTGGGGCGGATGGATAAAGTTGCAGATGGCAGGAGAGGTGGCAGGGAATGACGCACACGAGCGTGGTGCTGCTGTCCCCTATCGCCCGCACGGGGCCGGCGGGGACATGGGCTTGCAGCCCTGGCTCGCCCTCCCACCACCCTGTAATCCCCTTCCCCGGCTCCCGGCCCCGCTGGCCTACCCGAGACGTTGATGGGGACGACGTTGGTCTGGACGGAACAGGACTGGTGCCACTGCTTCTCCTCCACGGTGGGCAGGGGGAAGGCCCTGGGCCAGGCCGTCTGCTTGTCGGGGGTGGTGGGGAGGCTCAGGGAGGCATCGGGTGGCCTCACGCCCAGCGCGGTGGCACCGCTGCTCTCCTCGTCGGTGGCTCGCCGGCTCGGGGGCTGCAGGGAAAGGCGTGTGTCTGGCCAAACCCCCCCCATGGGGGACGTGGGGGGGACAGAAAGGGCCACCTCGGGTCCTGCTGTCCCATCAGCCGTGCCAACCCTTTTTCTCCACCCGATGCTGGGGCTGCACCGCCCTGCCCCACAGCCCCAGGGAATGCTTGGGCACGGGGGGGTCCTGGCACAGGGGGACCCCAGGACTCACCATAAGCACAAACTCGAGGCGTTTGGAGGGTGGAGGTCGGGGTGAGGGCTCCGGGGGGGTGCCGGGGGATGGGTGGCCGGCAGCGCGGAAGGTCTGCCCGGTCACCCTGCTCTCGTACTGCTCCTCATACTCCTCTGCAAGGGAAACGGGGGGACCCTGCTCCAGCTGCCAGCTCGGTGGCAGGAGGAGCACGGAGGCGTCTGTCCCTGGGCTGTCTGTCTGTCCCTGCTCAGCACGGGTGGCTCAGGACGCAGGGATGGGGAACGTGCCCGTGCTGCCAGCAGATCCCGTGGAGCGGGGCCAGGGCTGAGAAAGCACCAGCTCTCAGGGGGGCAGCGAGCCCGGCTGGGGATGGCCAGCATGGATCTCAGCATCTCCCGCCCTGTAATTGCTGAGCTAATTAATGCCGGTCGTTACGGCCTCGCACGGAAACCAGGTCTGCTCGGGCTGGCTTAATGAGATTACGCGTTGGGCGAAGGGCCAGGCTGCTGATCTAACCGATGCCTGTAAAGCATCTGATCTGAGGCTGCGTGGCGTCGCGATGAGGGAACTGGAAGGAAACCAGATCACCAGCCCCGCTGATTGCATTAAACGGCTCGGCAGCCCCGGCCCCCTCCTTGCGGGCAGAAATAAGCCACGGGGCCACTTCTTGGCCACGGTCACTCGGATGGGGACCTGGGAGAAGACCGGTGCAGAAGCCAGGGACCTCCTGGGGACCTGATTTTTGCAGTTTGGTGAGGTCGAAGGAGCAGCTTGGACAAGTGCATGTGGGGAGACGGCCTCGGGGCAGCGTACCCTGATCTGTGCCTGTCCCTGCCGCCCCAGACCTCCTCCCTCGCCCCGCTACCTTGCAGCAGGCTCTGGAGGTTGAGCTGAGCCTCCTGGTGCAGCTGCTCCATGCCCGGCGGGCGGCCGGCAGCCAGGAAGACGTTGACGGGCTGCTGCCATGACAGCTTGGTGTGGGCGGCTTTCTTGCTCTCGAGGTCCAGGTTAGAGGTGGCTGCGAGCAGGAGGGAGCAGAATGAGAGGGAGGCAGGCAGGCGGCTATCCTGCGAGCGCTGCTGCGGGCTCGGGGCCGGTGCTGAGCCAGCACCGCGCGCTCATCCTGCCCGCCTGGCCCTCCAGGAACACGGGGACGGGGACGTGACCGTGTCACGCCCCGGCAAAGCCACCCCCGCAGGCTGCAGGAGCAGAGCCCGTCGCCACCGCCGCTGCTGCTCCAAGCACCGGCCACGCTCCTGTGGGCGGACGGAGCGGGGTGAAATTGGGGAAGGAAGAAATCATCCCGTCACCCTGGGTGATTGCACAGCTGCTCTTGGGCGCAGGAAAGGCAGCGCGCAGCACAGCGGTGAGGCAACCTCCTCGCTGCTGAAGAGCAGAAATTGCAGCCTGAAAGGAGGGCGCCAAGGGGCACGGCACCTTTTTGTCACGCTTAGCTCATCCAGCAGCCCCAGAAGAGGGGACGCGTTGCCCGGCATACCTCACATTTAGCAGGGAAGGGTGGCGAGCCAGCAGGGGGTGAGGGCTTGCTGATGGCACCGGGGTCCAGGCAGGCGCTGGGTGCACACCCATTCCTATTTCCTGCGTGGCAAACACTTCCCCTCACCCCTGCCTCGTGGGGCCTGTCCCCAGCGAGCACGTCAGCGCCTCCGGCCGCAGCACCCGCTTCGTGCCAGACCCCACCCAAGCAAGGAGAGGAAGCAAACGGGGTGGCTTTGGTGAAAGGGGACCGCACCGCAATGGCTCACGGCTGCCCAGCACCTCCCTGCGTGCTGCTGGGGCCCCCTCTTCCCACACTGCTTGAGCCTGCTGTGGCTACCTGGGCCACCGCGGCCCCAGCCCGCTGTGCCCCGAGCATCGCCCGTGCTGCCCACCCTGCCCCCAGCTCCAGCAGAGCTGAGCGGCGCAGCCTGCACGACACCCAGCATCCAAAAGCAACGTGCCTGGTCCCTAGCCTAGTTACTTTTATAATTTGTGTTACCATAACGACGTGCCTTAACACAAGCCCTTTTTTTTTTTTTTTTTTTTTTTTTCCCTTTCCTTTAAATAATTTGACTCGTTTCCATATCAACCAAGAGGTGTCGGGGTGTGCGCGTGTAAATCACACCAAGGCTTCGTCGGCTGCCAAAGCCCCGTCCCGGAGGGCAGCACGCAGGGCAGTGCTGTGCCCAGAGCAGCCAAACACCCGGGGATGAAATTCCCCCTGCTGCAGGTGAGTGCAGCCCCATTTTTTCAAGCCGGAGCACGGCTTTTCCTCCTCTTGCCTCCTACTTTGGTGCCCAGGGATGCAATGCCCAGGCAGGACGGAGGTGACGGACTGGCACAAGGCGCACAGGCCGTGCACGGAGCAGGCTCTGGGCATCCCGCTTCCCCCCTACCCCTGCAGACCCCGTAACCACTACGCAGGAAATCAGGGACACCCCAAACCACAGCCCCCCCCTCCCTCCTCTTCCCTCCTCCACCTGCATCCTGCCCCGAGCAGGGCACCTTACCTCCGCCCTGGCCCCCTCGGCACCCCCAGGCACCCACCCCGCCGGCTGCAACCCGGCGGGCAAACGGCAGCACCGAAACTCGGGGCCGCCCTTCAGCAAAGCGGAAGCCTCCCCGGGCAGCAGCCGGGGGGGCCCCGCAGCCATCCCCCAGGGCAGGGCTCCAGCACCGGGACACCCTGCCTGCACCACAGAGCCCCCCCACGATCCCCCCAGCCCCCTGTGGTGCCATGAGGGGCTGCGCCGTGCGCACACAGGCTCAGGGCTGCCTGCGGGAGCCAGTGTAATGCCCTGGTGCTTCGGCTTTTGCTCCCCAGGAGGGTTTTTTTTGGGTCGGGGAGCATCACGCGATGGCTCTGCAGGTCACCTCGCAGGAGCCAGGATGTCTCCCAGGGGATCGTCCTGCTCCCAGACAGCTCCATCCCTCGCCCCAGGGCCGGGCAGTGTCTGTGTGCAGGGCTAAGCAGTGGCACCACAACCTTGGTGACAATTTGCAGAGCGCGAGTGAGCGTTCAGGCTTGGCCCAGGGTGCTGCCTGCGGTGCCATCAGGTCCAGGACTCAAGCTTAAGGGGATTTTGCTCCTGCTTTAGGACCGGAGCGAAGCTCGAGCCAAGGTCTGGTCCCTCCTAGGACTGCCAGCTGCAGAGCACTAGCCTGTGCGCTCACCCCACACATCTCCCGAATCACCCCCGCTTCCCCACCAGCACCCGTATTTACCTCCTGCCCAGGCATCCCGAATCCACAGCGAGATATTCGACAGCGCCATCGCAGTGGCTGCCTGATTCACTCCAAAGCTACCCTAAGACGACGGCTCCTGCCGGAAACCACACGGCTAAACTTTTCCTTCTCAAGCCCTCCCCGAGCCCGCGGGCGGCACCGGCAGCACGGCCCCTGCCGCTCGGCTCCTCGCTGGTGCCGCGGGAGCGACGCAGCGGCAGGCGGTGCACCATCAGCAGGGCAGCCATGGCAACGGGCATCGGCACGGCGGCATGTCGAGCGCGCCGGAGGATGAAGGCTGTGAACTTCGAGGCCGAGATCGACCCCGAGCAGCAACCCGAAGAGCTCCGGCGACGTTATGGCCCCAGCTTCGAGCGAGCGCCCCGACCTGCTGCCGGCGCGGTGAGCGCTCTGTCCCGGCGCGTGCGGCTCGGTGACATTCCCTGTGGTCCGGAGCCAAAGCGCACGCTGCTCTGCGATGAGCGGAGAGGAAGAGAAACTAGCAAACAGCAGGAGCTGGCAGCCGCCGCGGAAAGTGCCTCCTGTCCCAAGCTCACCCCATGCTGGATTCGGAGCCGCCGATCCAGCTGCCCCGCTGAGACGCGGAGCGGTATCCGTGCATGCCGCAGCCCCAGGCGTGGACGCCCGCCCAGGCCCAAACGATGTCCCCAAATTGAAAGCACCGTCCCGCTGAGAACCCCGTGCTAGGAGAGAGCGACGAGTGCCAGGCAGACCTTGCCACGGGTACTTGCCGTGAGCGGGATGGGGCATGCCCAAGACACGAAACATCCACGCGGATGCTTTGCCAGCCTCTGGCTGCAGCCAGGGCTCCAGGCTCTTGAGGTGGGTGCCCGTGCCCGTGGCACTGCACGGCACCTGGTGGGGCTGTGACATGAACTAATCACGCCGGCCTGCTACGGCAGATTTGCCCGAGGTTCCAGGCTCTCCTCTCCCTGTTTTCACATGCAATCAGCTGATTTTTGTACTGACAGCAGATAACAGCACTGCAGAAGCTGTTGGAAGGGGTGGGTGGGTTTGGCAGCTGTGAGGGTCACTCAGCTCGCAGGAGGAGGGTTGGATTGCACGAGAGGTTTCTGTGAAAAGCACCAGCAGCCAAACTGGTTAACGCCACTGCCCATCAGTAGGGTTCAGAGTTAACACCACGCTAGGACAGTCTGCCCAGCCAGCCCTGTGGTGAGATCAGGCAAAAACAGATAACAGCCCGATTTCTCCAGCCGGATCCCAAGCGCTCCACGTCTTGTGTGGGGCGAGAGCGGAGGGGACACGCGTGCTCCCCGTGCCTGGTGCCAGCGGGACCCCGGTGACCCCGCCGGGGGTCCTCCTGCCAGCTCAGCTTGCGTGGGGGCACGCAGGGCCACCGTGCCGCTGTGGGAGCAGTCACCACAGCAACCAGCGCGCTGCCGCTCGTGCGGAGACAGCGGGGACGTTGGGAACGGTGGCAGGGAAGCGAGCGAGCCCGCAACACCGCTGGGTTTCGTGGCTGCCTTGGAGGCAGGGGGCCCGGCCACCCGCTACTGCGGCCACCCCGTGCCCGTGGCTGTCCCGGGGAGGCTGCGGTCCCGCGCTGGGAGCGGGCGCTTCCAGGAAAGCGCTGTTTCCCCTGTGCCCTGCTGGTTTTGCACTCCGCGGGGCCAGGACAATGCGAGGAAGTTGCCTGAGAGGGGAACGTGGCCAGGCCCCGGGACAAAGGGGCCCGAGATGTGAAATCAGCCGCAGCAGGAGCAACAGCAAGGGCGGCGAGGCCCCCGGCCGCTGCACCCTCAGCGTGGCCCCGCAGCCCGTGCTGGGGGGATCTGCCCCGTTGTGGTTTCATCAGAGCGAGGACACCCCAGATGGGCCGGGGAGCAGCAGGGAGGGCTTAAAAGACAAAGGGACACATCGCAGCCAAGGCCACACTGGGATAGCGGGGACAAGACCTGCAGTGTCAAGCGGTGCTGACCCCATCCGTGCCTATCGCACTGGCCTCCGAAGACTGAGAGCCTCCACGTCCCCGTTCCCCGACCGGGCACCCCAAATCCCTGGAAGCACCGCTGCCCTCCTGCCTTACCTTCCCGGTGCCACGGCGCGAGGAGCCACTCCACCTTGGCCATGGCTGCAGCCGGCGCTCTCGGGACTCCGTGCAGCAAAAAAACACGGCGAGAAAGGAGCTGCCTCCGCCTTCCCTGCCTCCGGCCCCGTCCCCAGCCCGGAGGGAAAGGAAACGACCAGGAACTGGCTGTTTGAGTCAGCGCCAGCAGCCCATTGTCACAGCCCCGTCCCCTCTTCCTTCCCATGTCACAGCTTTCCGAATTCACTCGACTTTCACCCTGGGTGCTGCAGGAGCCCCCCCAGGGCTTCCTCTTGGCTCGCCTCCTGCCGAACGCCACCGGCGGAGACTCCGCAGGGACCACTTTCCAAGCACCCCGAGGATTTGTAAAGCCGAGCCTGATTTTCCTGGAGGACTGAGGCCCTTGGGAGCCAGGCTTGCAGCAGAGATGGGGACGTAGCTCCAAGCACTGGCTTGCTTTGGGACGGGCTTGATTTTTGACACCGGGGCAGCGTGGGGAGCATGTGCCTTGCACTCAGTGATGCTGCGGGCCCAAAGGATGGGATGCTTCGAAGACAGCAGATGCCGGCAGAGTTAATTTCCCCCAGGCACTTGCAACCCAGGCAGCACTTGCACATGGCTCTGGTAGATGGGGGAGACAAGCAGACCTGCTCCGATATGCACCAGCAACGGCCACGGACGACGTGGCAGCAGATTCCCCCGATGCCCCGGCACCAGCCCCTATA